GGCTCAAAGCAGCACACTTTCCTGATCTCTGCAGCTAAGATCACACACTCTCTGTTCTCTAGTGAAGTGTCAGGGTTGCAAGCCTAGAAACGGGCCCAGAAATACAAATGCAAGTGGGTTGTAATGCCTCTGAAGTGGTGCCGTGAGTGAAAATGTTGATGGGCTGCTACTCTCTACTAGGTTTGTGTAGCGTATCGTAGAAGTAGTAGGGCTGTCAGCATGGTCTCTTACGACAAGACTGGTGTAATGTGAGTGTCTGCAGTTCAGACTGGGGTGAATTGATGGGTTCTAAGAATGTTGATGATTTCTCACTTTCTAGGAAAACAGTTTCACATTTTATGTGGGATCACCTGAATGGAATTACTGAAAAGTGTTGGATGGAGGTTGGAGTGGCATTAAAAAGCTTTGACCTCATTTATAAGGGAATTCATTCTGGATAGTCTCAGGGAGCTTTGCTTTTAAATCATGTTTATTCTAATATTTCAAGAGATATTTATAAATAATTACTCCACATGAATACAGCACAAAATAGAGTAATAAAGGTTAGAATAAAGGAGCCATTCCAGTACTGGATAAATTAGTGATTTGTGAAGTCTTTCTTTAATTTCAGTGATTTTAAATATGAACGACAGGCTTTTCTGTAGCTAGTTTCATTAACACCGCCGTTAGGCTGGGATTTTGCAGTGCTTAGGAGGAAACGTAAGTTTTTGTTTGTTTGATTTGTATGAGTCTGACTGCAACCTTTTTTTGTGTAAGCCTGCAAAGCAAGGGTGAGAAATGGATGAAGGAAGCGACTTTTGATTTTTTTGAAATCTAATCCTTAGAGGATTTTGTAGTTTAACAGTTTGCCAGAAGGTGTCAGCTTACTCAATAGAAATTGTTTGATGATCTCTAAACTTTGGATTCCCTTTAGCACAGCAGATTCAGTTTAGTCATTTATAAAGCCACTAACTTGTGCCTTGTCTCAGAATGGCAGGAATACTGTCTTCCAGCACGTTTTAGAAATCTGAATTTGAAAATGAGCTGATGCATGTTCAGTAGCATAGGCATTCAACTTTAGGAAAGATTTAACAGAATGAATTCACAGTAGCATGTAATTGTATCTTAATAATAATGCTGAGCTCTTGGTTACTGTGTTAAATGTTTTGTATAGTATTTCAATAATAATCTGAATGAGCTGTGAGCTGTCTTAGATGTTAACTTGCCGACAGCTGCTTTGGAATAGTGCAGCACTTGTATAGAATAAAGCTTTACTTTGTTTTGTTTTGCTTTGGGTTTTTTTAGCATGTGTGGAAATTGGAAGAATTGCACTTAATTCCGGTGCGCTGCCTGAAGTACATGCTTTTGAGTGATTGCTTTCACTGTGCTGTAACCTTTGTGGTTACTGATGAACTGAACAAATCTGTGTTCAGCAAGAAGACATCTCTTGCTTTTTGAGAGTGGAGAAATTTGGATCTGACTTAATGCCCATGTTAAGTAAAGAAGCAACTATTGCCACCAGGGGGCAAATCTGCAATTTTTGTGCAAGACTCTCGTGATTTGCCAGATATTAAAAAAATATATGTTTGATTGGTTTGGTAATGTTTAACTACCAAACGAGCTAAAATGTTGGATTTTGTTGTTATGGACTTATGATTATTGACACTACAGGGCTTAAATGATAAATTACCAGTTTACTAGGTTAAAATAGAAATTTATAAGAAAACCAGATCAAATAAAACTTGTCTGAGTATGAAAAATATTATAAGAAAATTAGAATTTTTCTAAGAGATTTTATTTGGTTTGTGAAAGCCTTTGGTTTTTACTTTTTTCCCGTAATTTGTTGCAAATTCAGGAAAAAATTGCTGATGAGAAGAAAACTGGATATTGTTAGTGTGACAGATTGTTTTCCCCTTTTGTTCTTTTCAAAACCAGGTTGAAGCAATCTGTTTAAAAAAACCCTCCTCTCTAGGAGGAGATGACTATGTATTGGTGAGAGGTCAATAAAGTCTGCTAATAAATCACTTTAATGTGTTATGCATGTGACTTCTAGAAAATGGTAACTACAAAGGATGAATTTGTTACGCCACTGACTAAAGGAGGAACTTGCTGCTAATAGGAATTCTGTGGATAGATGGTTTATGTGGCTGAGCCTGTGATGCCATTCCCTCATTTCAAATAAAGTTATATCATTTTAATGCCTACATTCTGATTTTTTTTGAGGCATTTTAATCAATCCCTCTGAATTATAGGTGTAATACCATTTACCTTTTAAGATGTAGATTACCATCTTTGGTGTGCAGGCTGGCAGAGATACACGAAATAAATAGGAACCTTACTCTGTTCTTTGCCTACATATCTCTTCTTGAATACCTAACATAAGCTTAGAAACTATCTAAATATAATTTTTTACTGCTTTGGGACATGTACAGGAACTCTGATTCACCCCAAGTTTATTTTGGTCTCAAAATCTAGTATCTAGAAAATCTAGAACCCTCTCTTGTGGGGGTTCTTTTTTTAAGCTTCATAGATGTTGGTTCTTTTGAAGATTGGTTTTATAGGCTTATCATCAAAAGGAACATCTGCAAACATCTGACAGCTATGTCCTTGCAAAGGGACAGTTTGGCTATACTTAGTTTGTGTTTGAAAGTTACACATTCAGTATGTAAGGCAATGAATCTTCAGTCTGAAGGGATGACATTTCTGAATGGGAGAGCGTTTTTCTGCACTGACTTGATGCTTTCTTACTTAGGTTCAACATAAAAGTGCAATTGCAGATTGTAGCAAGCTTCATGCTCACTGGTGTTTCTGGAGGTGCAAAGTATGCCCAAAATGGACAACTTTTTGGCCGCTTTAAGCTCACTGAAACGCTTTCGGAAGACACTTTGGCTGGACGGCTGGTGATGACCAAAGTCAATGCTGTTTATTTATTGCCTGTCACTAAAGAGAAGTCAGCACAGACCCAAGGAACCAAAGAGAAGGTTTATGAAGCAGCTATTGAGGAGAAAACAAAGGATTATATCTTCTTGAGGGTATCCAGGGAATGCTGTGAAGAACTTAATCTTCGAGCAGATTGTGAAATGCAGGTAAGTCTGAGTGGTTTTGGGACAGGAACTGTTTGCATTGTGTCTGTTTTGGTTCCACACAAAATCATTGCTTGAAGATACGAGAACGAGTTTTGTTATTTATCATCATACACAGAAAGCAGAGCGTGGATGAGGATTTCAGAGAAGTGAAATCTTTCTATACATAAATATGTGTGTTTGTGTGTTGTACATATGTGTGAGTCCTATTATTTGGAAAATAAGTTAATATTTTAGGACTGTTACAGAGTAAAAATACTTTTTAACGAATTTCATTTCTCGCGAAATTCTTCTGAGATGATTAGGCTTTGCTTGCATATGTAGTTGTTTTGAGAGTGTGATTTATAAGCTGTCTTGGACATTGTTTTTACATCTCTGTTTCAAATACAGTCGTTGTGTCCATCATAGATGTTCTCACCAGAGAACTCAGGAAGCTTTTCTTAATGAAGTCAAAGGAAGGAGTTTTCTGTTCCTGTGTTTTTTCTCAAAAAAAAAACCCAAAACCAACCCACAACCAACAAACCAACCTCTTCTGCTCTTGACATAGCCAGTTAGAGCTCTGTCTTTGATAACCTGCATCTTGAACTCTTTGTTTTGTATCGTCTAACTCTTTTTGTCTGTGTCATTGTGGATTCCATTATTTGTTGTTAGGCCTGGGTTGAGATTAATTTTTACGAAGGTTTGTGTAGGTTATCAGTGGGCCTTCTGCTGCTTTCTGTGCCTATATCAGAACATAAGGAATATTGTCCTTCAGTGGAAAAATCTTCAATATACAGTCTTTCCTTGAGGAAGGTGATGAGGGTTGGTAGATGGAGGCATGAGGAAGGTGAATAAATACTTTTATTTTGTATATATCCTGTGTTTCAGAATGATAATACTTTCCTCCGTGGCTCTCACTCCCCTGACATTTATATCCAGGACAGATATCTGTCTGTCTTGGAGGCATTCAGTCACAAAATGAGGAGTTACAACACTTTTGCTAGAGAAAATTGTGTTGGCAGTCAGATCAGACTTTTGTTTACTTTGCAATTAACATGAAATGGGTGATGATACTTTTTAAAAAAAAAAAATTATGTAGTTTGCAAACAAGATACGTGCGTTTACATCTAATGCACTAAGGGAAACCAAAGCTCTAGTTAAGTTTAATATTTAACCTCCTCGCCCATCCCCGGTGTGTGTCTTCTGTAGACCTTATCGTTTATCTTGTTACTGAACAGAAATAACCTCAAATTAGGGGCACTGGAATTGCTTGAAATGAATGCATTTGCACCAAGGGATTATCTCCTCCCATTCATTTTGTTTTGGGGAAAGATATGCAAGAATCCTAATGTCTTAATTTAACATAGATAATTGGTTCTGGGAAGACTTAGATTGTTTTGGGCTCTTGGTTTTGTGTTTGTTTTCTTAAAACAATAATTAAACTTACTAATTGATTCTATCAGAAACTCCACTGGAATGCAAAATGAGCCGGGGCTACAGTAGCTGGCTTATTTCTCTTTGAGTGGCTTATAAAACTTTGCCTGAGGCAGCAAATATATTCTGCATTAAAAACTGCATCCTAAAGTTATTTGTAAAATCATTTAGTACTTCATACATATATCAACGAACTGGTGGTCAAATTCTCAAAGTGTTGCCTATGTTTTATGAACTCTAATTGTGAGGGAATTTCTTCTGATTAAGTATTGACCGAAAATTTGGAAAGGGATCCTTAGGTTAAAACTGGGGATATTATAGTTTGGGTGTATAGCATTTTTATTAAAGATGCTGGAAATTATACTGTTGACTTCAGTGGAGTTAATATTCCCTATGTGATTCTTAAACATTGACAAAATTACTTTTATTTCTGTAGGTTTGGGTTAGGTGGTTTGCTTCCTTTCCTCTCCTAATACTTCACCTTGGAAATTCTGCTTTTATCAAGGGCACCCACCGTTCATGAAGGTGGGGTGGAGTGAACTGGTGCTTTAAACCCCCACGGCTGCTGCTCTTCTTGGTGACCAAACTAATATGCGGCTGTTTTATTTTTGGAGTGGTTACACTGTTCTGTGTCCTCTTGTGTGAAGCTGGCAATGGATTAACTTCCTTTCCCACTGTTTTCTGTTTGTGGAATAGATATTAAAGCAGGTTATGTGCCTCTCCTCCACAGATGGCCTCATTCACTACTCTGCAGCAAATGTAACTATTTAATTCAATCCAGACTGGATTAAAAATAAGCAAATCCCGAGCTGTTAAAGGAAGCGGTGAAGGCAGGTAGATAAGAAGAGGTATTTAATGCTGTGCACCTTCCTTGGGCTCCCAGAAGGGGCTGTTACAGCATTACGCGGATGAGCATCACCATTTTTCTGCGTTTAAATTATAGTTGTTGTATTGAGTGTTCTTTTGTTAGGCTTGGAACTGCTCGAGCAAAGATATTTTTCCTGTACAGATCAAAGCGTGAGGTTGGAACTGTTGCCATTTCTGTGGAAGTCTTTTCCAAACATCTGCAGGATGCTGTTGGGAGGACAAATGGGCGCTGGGTAGAGAGGGGTAGGACAGAGCTTTGGAAGGAAGCTCGAGGTCCCCTCGGGCGGGATGAGCTGGCGCTCTCATTTGTGACAAGTGCTAAACCACACGGCTTCTGAAGAGCAGGGTATTTACTGAGGTACAAAACCACCTTCTGTAAAGTGGTTGTGAAAGCTGTTGGTAAAGATGACCTTAGAAATGTTAAATAGAAGCTGTACGCTTTCCAGGTAACTGAGGGGTGCTTTTCCAGACAGGTTGCAGGAGTTTGGCTGTTTGTCAGCATGAGCACAGGTCATTGTAAATCTCAGAAAGGTGCTTATTTACTTATTTTATTTATTTAATCACAAAATACTCATTAGAGTTTCAGCACAGTAGCTATGTAAGTATTTAGGATAGATAACAATGCTTTGGAAAAAAAAAGTATGTCAGTCACTTGAAGTTCTTCGTCAGCTTTGGGTGTTTTCGTGCAGTTCAATATTAGTGCAGATTTGTGTCAAATTTTCTGTCAAGTCTTCTGTGTTGTTAACATTAGTTCTTTGGTACGATGCTCTGATCAGATTAATTTGTTTTTGGAGAGATTAGTAATTGAAAATTTAAATACGTGCAAATGATAAGCTGAGTGAACTGTTTTTATGAATTGCTTCCCCAGGAGCTGCTTTTATCCAGTGTTCAAAATCAGAATGTATTTTTCTCTTTGCTCTTTTAGTGTATGTATGTATAAACTAATTCCACTATCCATTGTTCAGTTCTGAATTTAATCAGGGATATTAATGTGCTCTGCATGTTGTTTCTGGTTTTGTACCAGAATTTTGTTGGTATTATCTTTTATTTACTAGTATTAAAACATAAATAATAGAACAAAAAATGAATGTATTGATAAGCAACTAATTGTTAATTTAAAATTAACTTTTGGAGAGTTTGAATAACTGAACATAAATGACAAGTTATATTATTCTAGAATGTTTGACTAGATATAAATAATGTTTGGAGTTTCTCTGCTGTTCACACATCTGATTCATGTCATCTGTTGATCTGTAAAAATTTCTCACCTGTCACTGTTTCAAGGTCGTTCTTACCATAAGGGGTGGAAGCTTATATTTTTAAAAACAATGTTTTAGGACAATAATACTTTCCCCGAGTATTTTTTATATTCCAGAAATAATTCCAAGAATGTTTTCCCTTTAATTTTTTTTCAGAATGTGCAGTGGAATCTAATCTTAAGTCAAACAACAAAATTGTGTTAGAGCACATGCTGTGTTTGTTTGCTTCAAAAAAAACAAAAGGAGCATGTTAGTTTTATTGCAGATCTTTTGATTGGATGATGTTTGCTGTTTTCTCAGAGTCAGTAGTTTGCAGGAAGATAGAAATGTGTGATATGCAGAACAGTCTAATGAGTGTTTTCTAAATTAATCGTTTTTGGTTCACCTACTCATTTATTCATTCATTTTGTCCTGCAGGTTGAACTTCAGTTTCAGTTAAATCGCTTACCCCTCTGTGAAATGCATTATGCCTTGGACAGGATTAAGGACAACAATATTTTGTTTCCAGATGTCAGCATGACTCCCACCATACCCTGGAGTCCCAACAGGTACAAGGATACAAACACTTAATTACCAGAGATTGTATGGTAATACAGTACTGGATTTCTCATAACAGATGGCTGAAATCTGCCCTAGAACGAGAAACATGCCTTGCTCCTCATTGATGGTTCAGAGAAGTGAAACTGTTCTAAATAAAACAAGAAAACTCATCCTCGGAGGACTGGAGTCTGTTGATTGGTTTTCCCTGCGGTTGAGCTGTGGTTTTATAGGCATTGCGGTTCCATTGTAGCTGTAGAAAACAAATCTGCTGTTGTTGTTTACTGTTCTGCTCTTCCTTACTGAAAATAGGCATGATACCCTATAGGAATGTAAATAGCAGCTACAAGGAGTTTCCTGTGCAGGATCTCAAGCCTGCAGAATTGCACTTGCAAGGAACAATCCATTAGTACCTTTGAGTTTGATGTAATGGGCCCAAATTTGGCCATATCACTGAGGGGGATGACTAAGAAAGGTGTGGAAATGATGAAAGGACCAGCATTGCACTTGCAGGCAGTCCTGAGATTCTTGGTATACATGTCTTACAGTTTCCTTTATGAAATGTAAACCCCTATGCTGTAGAAATACTCTGAAGGAAACTTAAGGCTGATGCAGTGAAAATAGTTTGTCTCAAAGAGGAAACTTAGGGAAGAGAAATGTGAGGCTGTGTTGCTCAGGGAACATGGTCAGTATTTTGGTTCATAGGGGAGGATAAGAAAGGCATGAGGTTTCTGTACTTAGAAACCAGGGAGAGGAGAGGCGTGTGGAACCGATGAACTGTACAGCACGCGGGGAGTCGTGCGGTGTCTTGAAGGTGAGAATTAAGAGTGTGATTGTGATGCCGTGCAAATCAGAAGATAGCTCAAAGATTAAAAAGAAAGAGATCTGGCCAGAAACCTGAGACAGCAAGATAATGCAAGACAAAAATGACTGTAAGAATTTTAGTTTGCCTTTGGCAGTGTAGGAAGAACAGAGACAATGAAAGGGTGGGTGCGGTGTTCTGAGTGAGGATGCTGCATGTGTCAAAGTTTTGATGGTAAAGGCAGAAAGAAGGGAATGGGTTTTGCATTGAGTTATACTACAGAACTAATGGAGGACAGTGACAATCTGCTCACAGACTTAATTAAGTTCTGAGTGAATCTTACAAGGAAATAGAGTTTAAGAATAGTTTGGAAGTAAGTGATTTCAATAAAAGGAAGGTAAGTAAGCTAGAACTTTATCTTCTCTGTTTTATGTCAGGAAATTTATATTTACAGAAATTTACATATTGGTTCTAGTTGACAGAATGTATTTGTATAATGTGTTACATTTTTATATACATAAATTCTATATACAATGGTTGTAGTTCAGTTTAAGTCAGCGTAATAAGCATGTTTTTTTACATCTGGTGGCTTAGTTTGCTCTACTTTGAGAATTAGTGCTTCTGACTCACTCAAAACTATCTGTCCCTCTTTTTTCCTTCTATTTTTGTTTTACATCCCTGTTACTTTCCAGTATTTCTTAGTTTCCTGCCAGCTTGCTGTTCATAGCTGTCTTAAAAGTTAGGAATTCAGTCAATTCCCTCTTGATTTTACTCCCTGTTGCTAACTACTACTGAACAGCAACTTTCCCAGTCTGTAAGAAGCACAGTGCTTGTACCAAAGCGGATCGCATTACTGAAGTATGGCCACATGTGCAGCAGTGACAGGTGGTTTTTACTGTGCATGTCTACTTTTAAATCTGTCAGTGGGGAATATTAAAAACTCTGTCTAGAAATCTTTAACCTCTTATGCTCATTGGAATTTTCTGAAAGCATCTTCCTCTTAGCGCTGATACCACTAGCTGGTTACAGCAAAAATCCTTTTTCTTTTCCCATTAGAGGTATGTGCCTTAATGAGCTCAAAAAAAAAAAAAAAAAGAGTAAAGAGAAATTTGTAGTTAATTGGTAGCCATTAGTTTTAAAATTGTTTTTAAATTTCATTGTAGATAACTTTTACCAAGCCCTGGAGTTGTATAACTGTTGACTTTTAAAGTTGACAGTGTAAATACTGCAGGAAAGAAACATAACTAGTGTTGCGTTTTACGTAGTAATAGTAGAAAATCATTTTACGTCTTTTGTTATCAGGTGGTGGTGTAGCATATACTTTTTCTAAAATATGTACTATGCAGGTTAGTTATTGTTAGGTGAGATAATGTAAATTGAGAAATAGTTGGGTTTTTTTCAAAAGGAATCTGATTTATTGCAAATATTATCAAAGTTCTGTGATTAAAGCATGTGATTGTTTTGCTGGGTTTGTTGATTTGTTTCAGTGTGCTTCAGAGTGACACAACCAGTACAGAAGTGTATCAGCTCTTTAATTTCTTTAAAGCTTTTGAAATCTTACCTCATTTAATTTCTGTCAGTGGATTGTTTTTAAACTCTGGTGCTTCCTTTTGTACAGACAATGGGATGAGCAGTTGGACCCTCGACTAAATGCGAAGCAGAAAGAGGCTGTTCTGGCTATCACTACTCCACTTTCAATACAACTGCCTCCTGTTCTTATCATCGGTCCCTATGGGACAGGAAAAACGTTCACTCTGGCTCAGGCAGTCAAGCACATACTCCAACAACAGGATACTAGGTGAGATGAGGCACTAAATATAGAGCGATACTTGATTAGCAGAAGAGATGTAATTTTTTACTTAAATTCAAGTGGAAGGTAGAAATATAGAATTTCCATCCAGCTTAAAAACAAACAAAACCCAAGCCATCCGTCATTGTTTTGAATGATAAAGTAATTTTATAGTCTTAACCTGTATGTTCCATTTAGAACAAAACTAATTAAAATTGACGGTATCTAGAATGACTGTGATTTGCTCGACATGGAAAGTTTAGCAGTATGCTAGATAATAAAAGCTGTTCCTTACTTAAATCAAGTGTAGATTAATAATCACAAAATAATTGTTGAAAAACTGTTTGAACTTTAAATCTTTTCATAACTGAAGGATTTGAGTTAAGGGGTTGAATCATGCAAACTATGGTAGGTTAGTGACTAGTTTCATTAAGACAAATATGCAGGAAGATGGCCACTGTTTCCTTTTTTTTGTATTCTACTGCTTTGAATTGTTTTCTGTTTCTTCATTGCTTTTTTATTTGCACCATTTATTCCAGCAGGATTCTCATTTGCACCCATTCTAATAGTGCTGCTGATCTCTACATAAAGGATTATTTACATCCATATGTAGAAGCAGGCAATCCCCAGGCAAGACCTCTCAGGTATTTTTTAAGGCTTATTATGTATCTATAAAATACTATTCTTAAGAAAAGGTGTCTATAAAAAAGGCTAAAGAACTTTTAAAACACAAAAGCATATTGGCATTACCAGCAGTGCTTTTAAAAACAGACTAAAAGGAACGTGAAACATTGTCAATATAATTTTGGGTCATTTGTTAAATAAAAATAAAGACATCCTTTTTTAAGCTTTTATTTTTCTATTGATAAATGTGTCTTTCCTAATGAGCAAACTTTTGATATGCTCCTCTAAAAGCTACTATGATAAAATAAAATGAACTTTAATTGCATTTTAATTCCAGAAAATTTTGACTCACAATTACAATGATAATTTGGAAACTGGGGCTACCCACTTGGCATTTTGAAGACAAATTTTTTGTGTCATAGGAGCTACGTATTTAGAGAATCATGTGAAAGTAGTTTGGCCTCTTCTGATAAGTCAGTTTGAAGTCATTGTGTATGTGGTTAAATGTACTTCCCAAGGGTATTTTGGGGAAATTAGTTAAGGAAAAAAAAGAAGAGGTGGAAACTTTAAGAGCAATGAGGGTAAACTTGCATAGAAGTAGTTAAGGAGGATTTATTTATGGGCAGAAACCTGCTCCTGGGAATATTTTGCGCAGTAATGACAATATATTCTGTATACTGCTAGCTTGGTATGTATTTTTAAAATTATGGGCATCATTTTCTGAATGCCAGTGTGTGAGTTTATTATATTACTAAGAAAATGACTCTGTATATGACTTGCTAGCTATTAAAAGCCACCCTGGACTTATATTTTATTCAGTGTCAGTAAAGGCAATGAAGTTATGTGAAAGGGCAAGATTTACAACAGGTGTGAATTCTCTTAGGTTTGCTGGCTTTAGTTGCCATGTGACATTTTACAGACACTGAGGATCTGGCCAAGGAAAAGAAGTCAGCTTATTTTTGAGAAGCTACCTTTGGTGCGGTTGTATTTTAACACAGATTGTCTTAAGGTGATTTGTAAAGCACTTTGTGATGAAAAGCATTATGGTGTCTTAATTTTGTGATGGGAAAAAATGTGTGTAATTGACACTTTCGGGACTATTGAAGTGTGATTTAACAGAGCAAGGAGTTAAATAGAGTTTTATTGTGGTTGCCAGTCTTTTGCTACCTTCTTTTATGGGCTGTATTCAACTGTATAGTCCAATCTCAGAAATACATATGAAAAACATACATAAACGAAGTGTGGGCTTTTTATGGTTAATATATATATACACACACACACGTATTTGCCAAGAAAACTACACCAAATAATTTAAAAGTCACTGAATGTTTGAGTTTAATTGCCATAGTAATTGTTATGAAGCCTTCAGAAAGTGCTGCTGTAGGTTGTACGATATTGTTCAAATAGTCATGATACCTCTAAAAAAGTTGAAGTTTTAGAAAATGGAGGCGCTTCTGGAATTGTGTATTATATATATTTATGGATCCACAAGTATATATGTTTTGAAATGTAAAATATTGCATGTAATTGAGAAGTATATGTTGTTTGAAAGCTAACTGCATGTTGACCTGATCTGGAGTTAAAGGGTGAATTCATCTGAATTGAAGGCTGGAGCCATGTGAGACTCCCAGCATAAAATCAGTTACGGATGGGGAGCACCATAATATTTACCTTGTTTTTAGAGAAGGAAAGCTTAATCATTTAATATTGACTGAGTACTAAGAACTGTCTAAATATTTCTGTAAATTTCTGTGGGCAAGATGTACACTAAATAAATTATCCCATCAATTATGTGACGTAAAAATTTGAAGCCTAGAGTTTGAGGTTTTTTGTTTTAATATCATGTTATAATTTCTTTTTTTTCCTAAGAAAATATCTATGCCCTTTGGAAAACGCAAAGTCAGAATGAACACTAAGAATTTATGTTGAGTCTAAGTTCTGTACCTAAATAAAATACCAATGAAGCCTGAAGGCTAAATTCTCATAGTCTTGATGTCCATAAACAAATTCATACCCAGAAAAAGAAAAAAATGCCCCTGGGTTTGATTGGATGATTCAGCTGTGTTAGGGGCGCACTCCAAAATGTGACTCTTACTGAAGAAACTTGACATTGAGACTGTTTTGTTATACTTATGTAAAATAATGCAGAGGTACTTCTAAAAGGAACAAACGCAACCCTAACCTGCAGTCAGGAGGAAGAAGACTTCCATTACGTGCTTCTGTTAGGTGCTAAGACACTTGATTTTTTTTTTTTTTTTTTTTTTCTTACACCTTTGATGGTGAGTCAGAGCCATAGGACGTAGTAATTCCCTCCTAAGTTGTATACCCTATTACTCCATGGATGTGCTTCTCTCTCCATCAACTGCTAGAGCCTTCAGGAGGCAGGCTGTGGGGGTAGGCACTGTAGCTAGATACTTCAGGTTGTCACCATCTCCTAAAAACTCCAGTCAACACCTAGGAAGTAGGTAGCAGCAGGTTTTGTATTTAATACGAGGGGAAGAGGAAAGAGGTTGATGCTGCTTTTATCTGTATTTTTTTTTATTTATTCCTAAACATGTTATTTCTGACTATCAGTTCAGCAATGTCAGGAAATAAGTTGATTCTGTTTAAAATATCTCGGCTGAGACCTCTCCAGTTCATTTTTTAAGTATTTTGATCATAACTTACATATGCAAATACTGCAGGTAGCCTGAAACCAGATAGCTTTAGTATGTTACTACTAGCTTGAGGAGATAGACAGGCTCAACAAATTAATCAATTCGAGCAAACCAGTTTCCATTAAAAAAACCCAAACCAAAAACCCAAGAGATTTTAAAAGGACCATTGCCCTTTTTTCCAAATTGCCTGGAGTACTGTTCTCGTACAAAAATGGGTGTTAATTTATCTTCTCAAATGTTAGTTTGTAAAATAAGTGCCTCTTTAGGCAATTACTTCTTTTTTTCTTGAAACTCTAGCATTTATCTTATGTTATCCTCGTAGGAAGATTGATTTGAAAAGTTAACTTTTAGGTGGTGAGACAGGTTCTTCACATCTTTTCTGCATCCCAGGTAACATACTTCTTTGTGAGAATGAGCTGCTCTGTGGAGGTGGATCTAAAGAAATGAAGAGGGAAATCGGGTGCTTTTAAAGTTTTCGTTAGGCTTCTAGGGACTACTTAGATATTTTTCTTTTTCCCCTTTTTTTTTTTTTTTTTTAATGGTCTTTCAACATAGATAACTGCACAAAGTCTGAGGAGCTGGGGTTAGAGTTTATCCAAGAAGAGTTCTTTGGAGCATAGCCCAAAGGGAGAATCCTGGCCTTTTTATCGAGAACTGGGAGGCGTTGGTGTTTTCCAGTTCAGAACAGATTGTTTTGTTTTTTTCCAAAAAACACTACTAATGAAATTACAGGAGATTTGATTAGCCCAAATTGCACCTGAGAAAGAACCCCCTTGTTCGGTGTGGCTTACTTATATCACGACATTTTCAAATATAGTCGCATCTGTCAGGTGTTTTTATGCCAGTGGTGAATAATAGCTCTGGGATACCTTTTTGATCTCACATCAAAATAAAAGAAATTAACGGGTAAGCAGCAATGCAGTTTGAAATGCTGTCAGCCAATCTGTGAGTCACACATAGATGAATTTTCGTAATAAAAGACAGTGCATGGTATAATAACATCTAATAACCATAATATTTTGCATTTCAATAGCACCTTTCATCCAAGAACCTCAAAGTGCTTTACAAACATAAGCTCCCAATAAACTCATTAATCCTCCCAGTACTCCTGTGGGATGGTGGGTAAGTGTTCCCCCCAGCTAGGATTGAGCAGCTGGATCATACAGAAGCTGGCTGAATCGCTGGGATAACTGGAGCTGGGCTTATCTTGCTTCTGATATGTTGTTCTAGGTATTAGCCCATGACTTTATGTTGTTACATTGATGTAATAACAGTTTATCAAATAAAGCTTATCAGTTTGATGGCTGATAAATAAATATATTGGGGTAACATTAGAAGTTTCTTGTTCGGAGAACGACTCGGGAGTGTGTGGTTTGCTCCTGTGCTGAACCCAATTCTTAGCTGGAGTTACCTTTGGTCACAGAGTGTCACTTTTGGTTGGGTGTGTTTTCAAACTAAAAAGCCTTTCAGAGTACTGCAGTGTGTTTGCACCTCTTTGCATTTCATTTTGTGCTTAGTGTCCAAAATGGACATTGTATTTTCACAAACCAAATTTATTATAGTATTTGCTTCTCCCACATTATATGGAACTGAGCCATAGTTTTCAAACGTGGGTGGACACGTGATACCTGAAGTCCAGCCAGTGCAGTCATGTTTTGCACTTAGGTGCATAATTACACTTTTCCAAATGCTTTATTAATGGATTGAGTTTTGTAATATGGGTGCAGGAGAAATTAATCGGAAGAAAATAAATACTGAATAGATAAACCAAACAGCATTAAATCCCATATTTAGAACTGAAATTAGTTTAAATCATTTCATCTTTCATGCTTTGGAAATAAATTAAAATATCTTTAGTTTTAAATATTAGTATCTGTACAATAGTTTCCTGTAGTTTAAAGGTTGCACTTTAGATTCACAGTTCCTACTTGACAGAGATTACAATCTTGAGGAAAACCGAGAGAGAAGCCCTTTGACATCTTTATCCCGATCCTCAGCTGATGTCGTTTGGTTTATTTCTGTATACCTCTGTGGAGTTATTTGTACTCTGTTTTCTGGGGCATAATCTTTGTGCCTTCCCTGTTCCTCTTCTATTTATCTAGACTGGCCATAACATTGCATCATTTTTTAGGAAAAATTAATCATTGCTCGTGTGATACGAGGATTAAAATTATCTTATGTGTCATGGAAAGCTGTCTGAAGTCCAGTGCTTTGCTGACAATGTCCCAACATTCTAGACTCTAGCCATCCTTTCTGGCACTATTTTCTCATTCTTTTATGAAGTGTGTCATAGTTATGGCCCTGCATGATAAAAAGATGAAGATACTGTTTGGTTCTTAGAACTCAGAGGCCATATAGACTGTGTAAAGGGAAGTACAGGATTTTATTAATGTCTTTTGAAATTTTTTTTTAAAGATCCTGTGGCTGTAGTTGATGACGTGCAGATCACTGTGGTTCTGTCAGTTCCAAGACTATGGGCTATATTTATATTTCAGCTGAGAAAATATTTCTTTAAAATGAGTTTACTGATAGGTTAAAGCGGAATAGATATGTATGTGAGGGTCACAGAGCTTAAACGAATGAAGAATTTAGATTTCCGTATGTGAATTAATCTCTGGTAACGGTTTATGTATGTAGTGTTGCACTGCAGCAAATAGTGGAAGGTAAATCTAAGATGTTTTAGCATATAGCAACATGTAATTCTGCATAGTGATGGTGTTTTGCTTGCTGAAGATAACGTTTATTTACCAGAAAACAGAATATTAGCATTTGAAATATTAGGCTGTCACTTGTGTTCAGACTGTATCGAAAATAAGCCTCCTTTTTCTTTTCTAGGGTATATTTCAGAAATCGCTGGGTAAAGACTGTCCACCCAGTTGTGCATCAGTACTGTTTGATTTCAAGCACACATTCCACCTTTCAGATGCCACAGAAAGAAGACATTCTTAAGCAACGAGTAGTAGTTGTTACTTTAAATACATCACAGTATCTATGTCAACTGGATCTTGAACCAGGTAAGATAATTTCTAAAGAAGAAGTGTCCATGCTTGAGAATTGTCTTCCTCTTACCAGTGTCAGTTCCTTACCCAATTCTTTGAACTGTTAAAAAATAAAGAAAGTAAGCAATGGTCATCTTAAGATGGTCTCCTCTTTTTTTTTGGTGAATAAATGTTTATTACAAAGCTATAAACTTGTGTCATTCGAATTAACTTATTGCTTATTCTGTTTTTTTCCTTACTTGAAAAAAAATAAGGAAAGAAACAATACTATCTGTGATCTGGTGTTTCTGAGATCCAAGAGGGAAAATTCTGTTTGAGATGCTAACTTTGACTGTTATGCTCATTAAGGTCATTACTCAGCGGAGCATGTAAGCACAAGTACACACAGAGAGCTTTTTTTTTGTGATTTCTGAAGTGCTTAGCTTTGCAAACAACTCCCACACATACAAGCCCAAGCTATGTTTATGTGATACTTCTAGGGTTGTTTTCCAAACTGAAATATATTAGACTGATTTTTTGGGGGCAGAGATTGCTTAGAGTTTATTGTTTTCTTGATCTCCAGATGAAATCCATCTGCTTTTTGGAGAACGTGGAATTTCTTTACAGAATTTCTTACAGTTAACTTTTTCTATGGCAACATTTAGGCATTTGTTGCAATAGAGAAAACTAATATGGAATTTATGGTAAATATTTTCAGGACTTTAGATAGAAGTAACTGCATTATTTGGCAATGAGCTGTGTACAGTCATGCCATATGTGCAGCTGTATGAAATTAATGTTTTCCAGAGAAAATTGCTACTTTTTCATGTACATAATCTTAACTGAATGGTACACTAAGTCCTGTAATACTTTGTTTTAAACCTTAATATATATCAACATATAAAAGCACTTCTATACCTATCCTGAATTTACATAATATAAGTTTACAGTGGCCCAGGTTTTTTTCAAGTGCATGTTATTGAGTGCATAGATTTCCCCCCCCAACAAACCTTTTGGTCCAGGAGTATCATAAGATTGAATTTAAATTTTCCTTCAACTTCTGTTCCTTTCTTCCCCCCTGACATTCCTTAAAGCTCAGCAAAGTGCTCAGGTATGTGTGCAATTTTAATGGGAAATTTAGTACATAAAATAGTTAAGAGGACTCAAGTACATGAGGAAGTCCTTGTCATTGTCATTGTCCAAAGCTCTTCAAGCCTCATGGTGATGAAAAGATTTTCAGATTTGAGAAACCTACAGAGGGAGGTCTGCCAAGAGACATTTCCTCTTGATGCAAGGTGAGCTCAGACAAAACATGTTTAACTTCACATATATCGGAAGAAATATCACTGCCAATCAGTTGACCACTGTTGGTCATTTCATAGGTTTGAAAATTGTTTTTGTGGTTTCTAGTAGTTACGAGAAATTAATTTGCATAAGCCATACTGATTTTTTTTTTTCTAGTTTTGGTTACTGTCAGAATACAGAACTTTCAGTACAATTTCTTGCATTGTTATCACTGTTTATCATATTTCAAGTTTCATTTATTTGCTGATGTCTCTGTCTTACAGGTTTTTTTACACACATTCTGTTAGATGAAGCTGCGCAAGCCATGGAGTGTGAAACTATTATGCCTCTAGCATTAGCGAATAAAAACACAAGAATTGTCTTGGCTGGAGACCACATGCAGGTAAGAGCTATAGAATTTTTGAATGTAAAGTGTGTAGATATAATATTTGTATTTATATATTTAAGGTATTTATCTCCTCTAAATGTCTGTGGTATGTGAACACCTCGTAATTTCTAATGTAGACTCACAGTATTTCTGCTAAGTGAGAGTGTGCCGTTGTCTCCATTTTACGGTAAGGGAATAGACTTGGACCCACTCAGCCACTGAACTATATGCAAGTAAAATTTAATTTCCAAGAGTGATATGCATAAATTTTACTGGTCATATAACAGATGGGGAAGCCAAGTGAAATTCAAGGGATGTTACTTGCATAAGATATGGGGATAGTCAGGATAGAAGTTTCTCTTACTTTTTGTGACTGGTGTTCCCTATTGATTTCCAAAAGAATTGAAGAATACAGAGAATGTGTATTATGATTTAGACAACTATTTTAATTTTATTATAAGCATCATAATCTGGTAAGGATTTGAACAAGTAAGAAATAGGAAACTGAAACTAACCAGTGCCTTCATGTTACTGCGATGTGCCTGGGGATTTCTTGGTGTAAAGAGTTCAGAAGAGTTTCAAAAACAGATTATGCATGTCATTTTGCAGCCTGTAAGCATGAGAAAGCATGCTTGGAAAAGTCAACCTTACTTGCTTTGTTGATTTAGGCCGGATTTATTTGCTTTTATAGATTTACCTTTAATTCTCTTGACATTTCACAATAGCAATAAAGTAGATGTTTGCTTTGATGTAGTAATAAACTTAAGAGTAGTGCTGCCACCTTTGATTTAATACTACTAGATTATTTCAAGTCTTGATCATAGCAATCCCAAGGACTGAGATAGTGCTTTTTAAACACAGGTCTCAAAAGTGCTTTTTAAGAGACTGGAATTCTTACCACTTCAGGCTTGATCTCATCCGCCCAGCTGGCTAGAGTCTTGACTTGGCCTGAGCGTCTCAGGCTAGGTGCGTAAAGAGCTGATCTATAGCTCAGTTTCTCACGGAAGCCACTCTATGAGCAGTATTTGAATTTCTAAAACTGATATTTATCTGAAGTGAAGCTCAAACTCAGAATCTGAATTATACATATTCAGAATGACAAAACCAGATTGGTTTAATTTCTAAATTTTAAAATTTTATTTTAAAAATATTTTTTATCAACTTTTATTCTATTTTTCCTGCTGTAATAGATGGTATTTTTATTGTTAAACAAGCCCAGTAGTAGTTGAGTGTATTAGTAACTGGGCCACTTGGGTTTTAGTTTTTCCAGTGGCTTTCTACTTAACTTTAAAAAATGGTGTTACAAATTTCAGTATTTTCTGATCTGTACTATTTGTGATAGTGAATTAACTGTGAAGTTCTTGTCAGAGTAATTGTGTAATGTCATTCAAAACACAGTTTTGGTTTTGGATGATGGTTTGTTTTGTTTTGTGGGGGTTTTGGGTTTTTTGTATGGTTTCTTTTTTTTTTTTTTTTTTTTTTTTTTTTTTTTTTTGTCCAACAGCTCTCTGCTTTGAGTTATTCATCTGTGCAAACCACAAAGGAAAAACTTATATCTAAGAGTTCTTCTCTTCACATAGTTCCTTTAAGGGCATGCTGGTCTTTTGTCACCTTTACAGTAGGAATAGGCATTTCTATGGAATAGCCATGGTATGTCTTCCAGCTGTAAGTGTACAGTAAAAGCAAGGTTTCATTTTTGTTTTGATGCAAAATACATATGTTGGGAGCATGAAATTTCAAGTCCACATATTTAGTTACATTTTCTTCGTATGTGTGTGTCTATTACAGCTCAGTCCTTTTGTCTACAGTGAATTTGCCAGGGAAAGAAACCTTCATGTTTCATTGCTTGATCGGCTCTATGAGCACTACCCTGCAGAATTTCCGTGCAGGATCTTGCTGTGTGAGAACTATCGCTCCCATGAAGCTATCATCAAGTAGGTGTGAACTTTTTCACTGTATCATGCTTTTCTTTGACTGGCGTGAATGAACAAAACAACTCTTGAGCCAGGCACAATGGAATGAAGAGAGAAGCCTTACCTGTTTCTGTAATGAAATCGCAGTTGTTTCAGAGTCAATCAGTAGAGTAATTCTTTGTTACCGAGTTGAAAGTTGGTCTCCTAGAGCAGAAGCCGGGGCTCAGTTCGGCGGTTGCATTACAGACCCCTCATTTGGGTGGGGATGCTTTGGCTGCCAGACTTGCGCACTAAGCCAAAGAAGAGCTAACTTTCCCTTTTTAACCCCTGTGTAGTATATTATATAGAGTCTGTGTTTCTTTGGACTGTTTCAGAATTTTAGAATTACTGGGATGGATTATCTTGGAATGGTAAGCTATGTGCAATGTAGGGAACATATAGATATGCAACTACGAACAAAATGTGACCTATTTTTTTCTGGGCGTGTTTCTTTCCTGTTGTCTTTTTTTATTATTTCTTTCAAGACAGCTTTATCAGTGGGTTTGCATTTTCATGCTGTGATAAACTAATGGCTGCTAGTGTAATGAGCTCATCCATGAGCTGTGCTAGAAAGAACAAGTGCAATCATGGGGAAAAATGCTAAAGTTTAAACCCTGGCTCAAGGATGTACTGAAGAATATTAGGAATATTATGTTGGTATCCAGTCGTAATAATTAGGTTATCACTGTGTTCAAAGCAAAAGCAGAAATAGTTAAGTGCTCTGGGGAATCAAAAGTGAGAATGTAATGTATTTTGTTACACAGCTTGATCTGTCTTCACTTTATGGATTTTTTGATTAAAGAGTGAATGATGCTAAAATTCTTACATGTTTCTTGAAATTCTAAGTTTGAAATGAGAGAGAATCTGAAAAGGAAGGGATCGTTTCAGCTTTTGGTTAGAGATCGCTTCCATGAAATTTGCCTCAGGAAGATAATGAGAATTCACTCCAGCAGTTGGAGTTCAGACAGTGAGTTCCTAGAAGGATCCACTGTGTTGGACACCGAGGTCAGGATTGCAGAAGTACCACTGGGACTGGTCAGCTCTCAAGTGAGACTCCAGTGTGTCTAATTCTACTAGAAAGTATTATTGTGTGAAATGAAACCTGCTAAATGCTCTGGCGGTGGTCCATTTAGGAGATTGTCTCAAGTCTACGTTTTTTTTTATAATGTGGAATTTCCCCTGACAAATGGAAGCATGGCACTTCAGACAGAATAAGTGTAGGAAGATGGTTTGTGGTGGGCTCATTAATCATACCTACCTAACTGAAGTAAAGAGCCAAAAGAAATTAAGGAAAGAACAAGCCATTAGTTCAGCCTGACTTTGGAGCTGTAATTGGAAAAAACAGTCTTTGTGGAAAGGGTTTATTGTTTAATGAGAGCTCATTACTGAGAATTAATTTGCAGGAGAAATGGTTAGTTTTGCTCATTGGCAGCAGCAGACTGCTACAATTCAATCCACAGAAGAGTTGTGTATTCTTCAGGATTGTCCAGTGTAAGTCAGCTCTGGCCAGTGGTGAGCTGCCGTTGTTTGACTGTGATTTGGTGGCAGACTGGTTTCTTTAGCTTTCCCATTATTTACATTTTAAGCTCCAGTAGTTGGAGGTCTGGAAGTACTCGGTGTGCCCACTGCCTGCACAGCCTCCTGTGCTCTTCATGGCAGGCTGCATTCGTATTACTGCGTCCGCAGAGCTGTATCCAAGGAATATCAAGGTTGGAGGTTGAGCATTCAGAAGTTAGATTATACCAGAATTCACTAATTAAGGAAAGCCAGTGCATGAGTTTAGCTCTGTTGTGCGTACAGTAGTATACTGTACTTTCAGTAGTACTGATAGTAATCTGCAGCCTCTTCTTGCTGGCTTTTTGTCTCGTTTCGTTCACTTTGCTTTCTCCCCTCCTACTTTTCACCATGAAAGAAGTTCTTGCCTCCTTTCTTTTTCAGTCAGCCAGCTTCTGCTGCCAGCAGAGGATCTATGTGCTGGTTGTGTTTTTGATAACTAGCAACATAGATTGGTCTGGAGTAGAAGTCACAGAGGAAACGCTTGCTTGAAAGCCGAACACTTGGCCTGCATTGTGCTCAGTATGCATGAAATCTTTATTAAATTTATCTTCCAAGTTCAACAACTCTTAACTGATGGAAGCAGGCTCATTGTCCGGCCAGACTGGGGAATAACCAGTCCCAGACAGCGAGGGCTCCTTTTGCCCAGTTTCAAGCCACCAGAGCTGAGTGGAACATGAGTGAGAATGTTAGTGACAATTGTAGAGCTTCAGATTAGAAGAAAATATTGCCTTTGTAGAAAAAGTGTTGGAAAATCATATTTTCAGTTCCTTCTGCTCTGTCTGTAGTATGGAAATATCAGTTCAGAGAAATCACTTCAAGATGCTGAATAGTAACCAGTGGTTCTGTTTTCCTTGTGAAGGATTTTGTGATTGCATATTTTATCGGTGAGATTTGCATGTTTTATCAGTGAGCTCATAAGTAGACTCCACATTTTATTCTGTTTTGCTTTGTTACAGTTATACATCTGAACTTTTCTATGAAGGCAAATTGATGGCAAGTGGAAAGCAGCCAGCACACAAAGATTTCTACCCTTTAACTTTCTTCACAGCACGTGGAGAAGATGTGCAGGAAAAAAATAGCACAGCTTTTTACAATAATGCAGAGGTAACTCTTCTTTGGCTTTATTCTTGATTGTTTTCTTCAAGCTCCCCTCCTCCCAGATTTATTGGTTTATGCTCAGTGTAGGTGGAATTGTCCTCTACCAGAAAAGAGGAACGAGGAGTTTGCTAAACATGAAGTAGTGAACATTGCAATTTTAGTAAACATTTCCTGTAATTTATCTTCTGTTTTTTCTTTGCAAGTTGCAAACTGCATATTGTTCTCTCAGGCTTATTTTTCAGGATGTCTTTCCTGATAATTTCTGTGACAGTCTGATGGATGTATCTTAGCAACTGGGAGTAACTGCAATTTGAAGTAAAACTTAGATCTCTTTGACTGTTGTAGAAATGTTCCCACTCAGATAAGAGTCCTCTGGAGTAACATTTCATATTTGCTTTCATATGTTTAGGATCAGTTAGATCATGTGCAGATGAGATTTTTTTTTTGGTGAGAACTTATTCTCAATATGTTTGTTTCACATAGATTTCTTTCTATTCTTCAAAAATTACTTTCAATCTCATTCCTTCTCTTGAGTTAAAAAAATCCCCAAACCCACAAAATCAAACAAAACACAACCCTCCCCTGCACCCTTCCCTCCAACTTGGTGATAATTTTCGTAGTGGAAGGTAGCTTTTTCCAGTCAACTCAAGTTAGGGAGAGGTTGACCCAACTCCTTTTTTCCCCCACCAAAATGATGTCTGAAGAAATGTTCTTGACATTTAAAAAAACCCAAAGAAATATCACTAATTTTCTTAAACTTATGAGGAATTTTAGTGAAGTTAGGTTGCAGATTAGCAGCAGTGTTGGTTATGAAGCACTGCAGAGCTGTCTGTATTTCCCCTTGTTGATCCTGGTGCGGTTCATCTGATGCACAATTTTCAATCTTTTTGTTGTTATTATGCTGCAGTTGTTATGCATTCTTTGATGTATTAAAATATCTACTTAAATCAGAAGCTCCAATGACTTCTGGACACATCAGTGGAAAAAAAAACTGAAGGCACCTGACTACTTTCATTAATCTAGTTGGATTGCTTTGCCATCTAAAAAAAGTTGTAAAAAACCTAAAAATATCATCAGTGGTCAAGTAACTGTCTGAAGATTGTGAGTCATTAATAGCTACAGGCAGAGATGAAGGACAACAGCTGCTCAAACACCAACATGAAAAACTGAAATTCAGATGAAGAGGGAGATTTTTGCTGTTTAACTGTTAATGGACATTTGCATTGGGGCATCTTATGGTTCATTGGTGCGGATATTAAGTATTAATTAGGATGATACACTTTCCCTTTTTGGTCTTAATTCTAAAACTTCCCAATACGGTGTTAATTCTAAGTACATATCCAGAAGCTATATGCGTTCAGAAAAGCTTGCCAAAATACCTGCAAAAGATCATTGTATTTGTCCTATTTTTTTTTGTGGATATCAAAGTTTATTCTGATATCCTTTGTCAGTAGAACTGTCTTTTAAATAGAAGAATTTATGTTGCAAAAAGTTATATTCAAGACTTGCTCAAAAACAGCCACATATTTTCACTGCCCTCTGAAAATCTGGAATTATCATAAATAAAATGTTTGTGACTTTTTAAAGGTTTAACAGATTTTTTTTTTTTGCTTTATTAGTTCCCTCCTGATTTTTTAAAATTCTGGAATTTTTCAATAAACTGTCTCAATTTAGATTCATTTTTTAAAAAAATATGCTTAAATGAGCATGTATATCATATAATCAGATCTTAGATAGTAAGAAGTCAGCATAAAACAACAGACTTTTATCAGTTAGGAATACTAGACATAATATAAAAGCTAAGAGCATTAAACTTATTTATTTTACGCCCACTTCCCACAGCCAACGATAACTGTATGAGTACAGAAGAGAAGAAAATTAGGAATACTTGAGGTTCTTGCAGGAAAGACTATCTGCCTAGGTTCCATCAAGAGGCTGTGCTTGCATTTGTTATGCTGTAGGAAAACTGCATTCATCAATTACCATGCTTTAAAAAGCTGGATAAGTATTTCTTGAATGACATATTGACATTTATGAAATGACATATGGAATGTAAATGTTAGAAAAACCCACACAAACCCACAAACCTTCCATGGAGTTATTCAGAAATGCCTTCTACAGTGCAGTATTTCTATTCAGGGTGTTGAAACAGGAGCGGCTTTTTGGCAGCAGGTTACTTTGAGCCTGTTTCCTCACAGGAGGAGGTTTCTGGGTTTTATTACTCATTCGTCCTCTCAGGTAGCCCACTTTATAGTATTTCATAGCAATGAACTTGCAGTTGATGAATAATCTGAAACTCCTGATGGTATCCTTTGGAATGGGAAATGAATGCGCTCCGCTGTATATATTATTTTTCTAGAGTTATCAAACTCTGATGTGACATATATAAAATCCAGAATAAAAATAAAAGAATCCCTAATTAGGCAGTATATTACTTAGGGAAATTAGATAAAGTATGATAAGAAAAGTCCTACTGCAGTGACATTTTCATAAGAACGTAAGTGTGAAAATTAAGGTTAATATAATTTCCTAGCTTGTACTATAAAAGTGACGTTTTTGCGGGCAAACTTTTATTTCAAGATTGAAAAAAAGGTGCTAGATAGTAAATACATTGTTTTAATACATGATATTTTAGAGTATCACTATAGAATACAATAGTATGATTGCTTGTTTGGAAATTGTATTATTGCTTTAATATTCTGACATGTAAATGTATTAGAGCTTTAAAATTCCAATTCTCTTTCCAAAACAAAGAATGATCTTCAGTGGAGCGTACTTTTAAGAATTCTGACTTTCTTTTAAGGTGTTTGAAGTAGTAGAGCGTGTTGAAGAATTAAGAAGAAAGTGGCCTGTTGCCTGGGGCAAATTGGATGATGGCAGTATAGGTGTCGTAACACCTTATGCTGATCAAGTGTTCAGAATTCGGGCTGAGCTTCGGAAAAAAAGACTGTCTGATGTCAGTGTAGAGAGAGTGCTCAATGTTCAGGGTAAGTAGTAGTTACATGTCTCTAAGATATACTGAGGAGGTTAAAAATGTGACTGGTGAAGTTAAGATGATTTTGGAAATTCTTACTTAAAACGGTCAGAACAAAAGGAGAGCTGTGATATAGCCCATAAAACCGATGCATCAAAATGAAACTGGCAAGTGTGCCCATTAGATGTTATTCCAATGTTGAATAGCAAAGCAATAAACTCATGGATGTGAAATTTATCTTTCCTCAAATTTAAATTCAAGCTCACTTGGAAAGCACATTGATTGAGTGAAAAATTTGAAAAATTATGTTCCCAGTAAAAGTGTGACAAGACTTCTGCCTCAAAATGTTTTACTGATTTTTGCATTTGTAGAATAGACTGTGAAAAGTGGTCCACAAATTTAAGTATTTGTTCTTGGGATCACGTTGATGATAAGAATATTGTGTAGGCATAGCCCGTTGCTAGGTTGCACTTTTAGTCAGGAATAAACAACGGAAGATGATAAAGTAACTGAGTGACAGTGAGTGGTGTGTTCTGGTTTTTTCATGGTAGATATCTGTATATTTGAGAAATTTTAAAATATGCAACAAGAACGTCCGGAACTTTTTTTTTAAGGTAGAACAAATAAATGTAAGATTTGTTATTGGCTGATGGGCAACGTTGTAAAGATAGTTAGCATTTCAGAAAGTTCTGGAGTGATTGTATCAAGATGAAAAATAAGGTTTTTAAAGAGGAAATATTCTTGTAATAGAATGTGCTATTTATAGTCCATCTTTTAAAATTTTTAAATCTTATTATTCTTGCATAAAGCTCTTCATGTGAAGGGTAGCTATCAGTTCTTCAGAATATCTAGGTGTGAAATCTGGCTGGCAGGTGCAATGGTCTGTGTTACTGGCAGAAATAACTACAGTTATCTGAGGTATTTGGTTTTTGTTTCCTTTTAGGAAAACAGTTCAGAGTTTTGTTTCTCAGCACAGTACGAACACGGCATACGTGCAAACATAAGCAAACACCAATTAAAAGGAAAGAACAGTTACTGGAGGATTCAACAGAAGACTTGGATTATGGTTTTCTGTCTAATTACAAACTTCTCAACACTGCCATTACAAGAGCACAATCCCTGGTAGCTGTGGTGGGAGATCCTATTGCTTTGTGTTCCATTGGAAGATGCAGGTACTTTATATATGTTGCTTAGTTCATCAGGGCTAAGGATAACAGAAAATGTGAAGACTTGAAAACCTTTATTTATGTTTTTATGTGTCTTCATGACATTAGGAAAAAACTTGTTAAGATTTGGGTGAATTTACTTTTTGTAGACGTAAATGAAGAAACGTGAAAAATGCCAAGAGATGTAAACACTGATGTTAAGGATACCAAGTTCTTGTTCTTCAAAGGTTTCTTTTTTGATGGAAGAGCTGAAATGTTGAGATGATCAGAGATAAACCCTGAGGCTTATTTCTCAGAGAGGAAACACTGCACTGACTACATTATTATAATACAGCTGAAAATACTTATTCGTCAGTTGTTACATCTAGGTTGTATTCTGCTTTCCTGAGTGGTGTTCTTCTACTGTATTGAAAATGGATGTGGTTTTCAAAGATTAGAGTTCAAAAACCCAGATGGAAAACAAACTTTTAAAACTGCATTTATGAAATATCACCAGAATTTAACCCCTTATCTTCTGGGGACACATCAAGATTATCCCTACGTTGATACAGTGATCTGCTCTAAACTGCTATGAACCATCTTATTAAAAGAGAAATGATCGTTGTGCTTTTATTTCACTTTGCCTATTATCTGCTTGGTTTTTAACCATCCATCTAAATACAGCTTTTGTTGGAGAATGGCCATGTCTTTATTCTCTGTAAATCCCAGTGGGGAAGAGATAATCTCTTGAATTTTCACGTAAACCTGAGTGTTGAGGTTTTAAACTACATATCCAAAGGGGATCCAACTCTCAAATGTGAGGGCTCAGCAATTTCTCCAAGCATGGCTCCTTTAAAATATCTGAAATAGGGCATGCAAAAACTTGCTAAAATAAAAGTGTAGGCTGTCAGCACGGTACATAAGTTACAGTCTTGGCAGTTGGTGACTGAGTTTGCCTTTAGAAGACCAGCAGCTGTTGATATATGTATAGCTGTTCAAAATTATAAAACAGAAAGATAATTAAGAAACAAGGAGCACTGAAGCTTTATTAAGATGTATCTCAAGCTTTCCCTTTAGTACACCGTTGTCTTGTTTCACTGAATAATTGAACATTCAGTCTTTGAAAATAGTGCTGGAGGGGCTCAGGCGTGCTGCTGGAAAGATGGTTCTTTTTTAGTACAACAGGAGTATAGAAGTCTGAAAGAAGTGACATTTCGTTAGGAAAAACAGACCTCAAAAAAGTTTAGAGAGTACATGAATTTTATAAATATTCTAATACCTGTCAAAATAAGTCAAGACTCTATAATGATAGTAGTAGAGAGCTTTGTGAAGTATGCCCAGGGTAATCATCACATTTCTGTGTGTTACGATCGGACTAGACAGGGCTGTTTTGGCAGACACTCCCTTTAAACTGCAGAGCGCACCGTAAGCCAGAGGCAGCAGCGTTTTATTCTCTGTTCTTACACCCCAGTACAAGTGGTCCATGTGTGGAGAGACTGCTTGGGGCATTTTGAGCAGAAGTGGATGGGTCTCGGTGGATTTGTGGTACTTGGCAGTAGGTTTGGTGACTGAATTGATTCATCAGAGGGAGCTCCATCGTTAAGGCATCCCGGTGAAGTATTTCGTTTTGGTTTTTAATCCTCCCTTAAAACCTTGCAAGATGCATTTGTCTTACAGTGAAATGCAGAAAAAGGGCCATCTTGCATCTTGAATTTTAAAAGAGCATTTCTTGCCTGTATAAAATCACAATAGAAGATGGGCTTTTAGGGGAAACTATTTTGATTTCTTATATACGTCAGTAACATTACAGGATTCTTGCAAGAAAGACATTTATTCTTTTCCACAAAGGGCAGCTGCTCAGCAAAATGTGACACGACACCGCTGTTAAAATTAGTGTGCAGCAATCTCGTTTTACAGGCTTTGGGGCAACAACACTGAAATAACAGTGCTTGCTGTTACTGAAGGGTGGACTAGAAGGAGTTGTAGTCAAGCACATCTTTAAGATTATTGTCTTTTTAATCCTCTTTTTCAGTAACTTTCATTACTCTTGGGTTTTTTTAGAAAAAGAACAGCTCAATCAGTTTTCTTGAAGTGGCATCTTCAGATCTTATTTAAATATCTTTTAAGCTTCAGTAACTTCACCCAAAAAGTTCCTTTGAGGTTAAAAAGGCCAATGAAGTAATCATAAGTGTAAAATTTTTGTATAGATCCTACTGTGGATGTTAAAATTGTAAACACTTTTAAAATAAGCAATAGAAAGATGTGTCATGAGAAAGCAGAAGACAGGTAGGAATGTTCTTTTACTACGTGGTTTAAATAACCGCTCCACCCTCCAAAAAGCTGGATACAAAATTTTCATATAGAAAGTCCTGTATCATCTGGGGGTTGTCTTTTTGGCTTGAAATTTCTTCTATATGTTCTAGAAATATCTGACACACGATCAAATTTATGGTTTTATTTGTTTTCCACCAGAGAATCTCAAAGGCCCTCTAGATACTCCTGAGATGTTAGTCTTCACGTGACTCTGAAGTGTTGTACAAGAGTAGTTTTGAGGGTATATCTCAACTTTGGTTATAAATTTGCTTTATAAATTCCATAAATCACATGCTTTCCAGAATTTTAAGCATTGTCTTTGCTGTGTTTGGTCTTCTAGGAAAAAAACCAAGTTAGAGCTGTCCATGTCATTACTATTAAATGTGATGTACACCCAGTGCTGCCATCTGATATGTGTGGACAGACCCATGTGTCATTTTAAATGACTGGGGAGCTTTGCATTGTGCTGTGGGGTTCAGATGCGTGGGTCAGATTGCAGGGTGGATGGCTCGGTGTGGAAAATGAGCATACAGGAAAAATAAAAATGCCTCAAAATTCTGTTAAATCTGTTTGAATTTGTCAACAGCCATCGAGTCTTACTCCTTTTTATTGTTTCTAAAAACTGTTTCCATAGGAAATTTTGGGAAAGGTTTATTGCCCTATGTCATGAGAATGAAAGTCTCCACGGTATAACGTTTGAACAGATCAAAGCTCAGCTGGAAGCTTTGGAGTTAAAGAAAACTTATGTGTTGAACCCACTGGCTCCCGAGTTTATCCCCCGAGCTCTTCGGCATCAACATTCAGCAAATACCACCAAACAGCAGCAATCACCACCAAAGGTAAAGTTCTACGGATGATGAATTTTGTCAGAAAGTGAAAGTGAATGTAGAAATGCCTTTTGAGAAGTGATGCAAAAGGTTTATGGAACAAGCTGTTCTTTTAGAATGGCATCAATGCAATCAGATATGAATGCAGATTCCAGAGGGATCCTCAGCGTTTTCAAGTGAAAGCTCTAGACCCGTGTTATAACACGGTATTCAGCAATGTAGCTTAGGCTGGTCCAAGCCTTGTTTCATTACTATAAAATGTGTAACTTGGGTCACTCTGGCATGTTCATTGACTGTGTTGCAATGACCCTGAAAAGCTTCAGCCATGGATCTTGGCCTCAATATTTAGATAAGCCAAATTAAACGCTCTGAACAAGAGGCAATCCCAATCCCAAGCAGTTTGTGCTCTGACTGTACCCTGAGAAACAACAGGTTGATATGGACAGTGGCAAGGAGTATAAGAAAACGACAACAAAATAGCCAAAAGTGATTTCGTTTGATCTAAAAATCACATTTAAAATTCAGTTAAGTTATGTAAGATAATAGTTTGATTTAATTAAAAATATGTTGTAAAACCAATATATTGCCTAGATTAGCTCACTGATAATGTCCTTCACAAGACCAGATTTCATTAGCATCAAGAGAGCAGAGAAATAAAATTACCACTCAGTGGTAATTTTATCAGCTGTCTTTATAAAAGCAAGTAGAGAAGTGATGAAAATACTTAGCTTCCTTAAGGTGATAAAGACTAACACTAAATTTTTGAGCTTTTTTAGGGGGTGATATGTTAGTAATTAATTCTGTTTTAATAGTTCTTTGTAGTTTATTTGAAAATAATTTGAGTTGTAATTTAATTGTGTTTAGAGCTGCAACTAAAGTGCAGGTTGTCAGCTTTGTGAAGAAACTTATGTATTTTCCATAGCCTTCCATTTCTGTTGTAGGCTGTGTCATGTAAATGAGATTTTTACGACAGGTTTTTTAACTTTACCAGTACAAAAATGAAAGCTTTCCCTTTGGCAGTCCTTCCCAAAAGAGCATTTGTAAGTGAGAACATTTGGTTTCTTCATCAAGATGCATTACTTTCTGAAACAAACACCAGATTTCTAAAGCATCTAGTAATGTGTCAAAACACTAGGCTTACAGAAAACCGTAAATTAAAAAATTGCTGTCTTTAGAAAGTCAGTGCTACACTCTCATTTTCCATGAGTCCTTCAGCCTTGAATGCATTGTCTTTAATAATAGAACACCACTATTAATATTTTTTGTTTCTAAAATGAAAGAAATGTATTTGAAAATGCAGGTATAGTACATTTAAAAAAAAAAGGGGGGGAGTGAGTCTTATGAATAGACTGTTCTGTTTATTTTCCTTACAGTTTGTTAGTAAACTGAGCACTTGTGCTGTAGAAACCAGAAGAGACACTGCCAGCACTGTATTTTCAGTTTAAGATCTGAAGTGCTTTAGCCACCTATATAATAATTAAAATGAAATCTCTTCCCTCTGAATACGACCGACAGCTAGCATGTGCACTGGCAGAAGTAAGGCGAGCAGGTAATACGCAAACATACACAGAGAATGGCTGTGGTATGTCATACATCCCCCTTTGCTCAAGGTTTAAAAGCAGATGGTTAGCTTTGCTTTTAGACCTCCTAAGTAGAATATTTAAGATTAAAAGATGAAAGATTAAAAACCTAGTGCTGATGTGTTTTGTACTGAAAAAATGAGAACAGCCTCCGAGACAGTGTTTTGTGGTGAGTTTATGGATGTCCATGTGGCTCAGGGCTCACATGTGATGAAAAGGGATTTTGTAAAAATGGCACCTTCTGATTCAGATTTATTTAAGGATATTAAAAAAACCTCTTTGCTGTTTATTTTTTAAAGAAGAAAAAGATGTTTCAGTCCTGTCACTCTGAGAAGCAAGCAGCTAATCTGGAACTGGTTAGCTGTGGGCTGCTGTGCCTCAGGGCAGCCCTGCCTGCGAGGGCATCTTCCCCTGCGCCGGGCTCGGCTGGGGATGGTGGAGGCGCGGAAGGAACAGCAGAGGTGGATAGGCACAGCCTTTATCCAAGGTGATGATGTGGAAACGGAAAGTTTTCAGAACTCAGAGCTTCCCGTAGGGTAGTTAGCATACAGTAAATTAGGCTCTGAATTTTACAGCTGTGCCTGTCTCCTGCTCCCTGCCTGTGTTCAGCCTTTAGGCCTGGATTCAGGTGTTTAATCGGGATGCGTCATCGTCCCAGACATTATGCAGTCAGTGAGGACCACAGGTCTGATTAAGTCTCTGGAGAATACTCTCTTCTCCTGTCTCTTGACTAAAGGGAATGACGAGGCCGTTAGCTGCATGAAGTCAGGTACCTAAATCTTGGTTTGAGTTTGCTCTAAGCGGCTTTATATAATGTGGATTTTTATAGTCTGAGGGTGGAGCAGGTTTTTGGAGGAAGCTGAGTGCATCTGTGCTCCAGTGCTCTCCACTGCCATCAGTTAGTGCAGGTTTCGGTGGTTTGGAGATGGGTGGGAAAAAGAACCTTGAGCTGGAAATCATTGAGAAACAATAATGGTTAAGTTATTAATAGACTATTATAAAGTCATTAAGCCATCAAAAAGGGAAAAGATTAGAAGAAAAAAGAAAGCCAGCACCTTCCTTCCCCAACTGACTACAAACGGCCCCAGTTGACTTACACTCACCGAGCTGGTACCAATACATGCAGAAGCTCCTATTCAACAACACAGCTGTTCTTATGAATTTCTGTAATTATTTGCTATTTCAGTTTTAAAAATATAAAATATATATAAAATACAAGTATGGTAGGTAGAATAGAGATTTGTTAGATTTATGCACGTCCAGCTTGATGCTAGCTGACAGTGTAGCAGATACAGAAATGCCTTGTGCTAACCATGAGTGATTAAGGCGTGTAGCTCCTCTAAATTTTGTTTTAGATTGAATCTTAGTTTCTTTGGTGAATAAGCATGTTTCTTTTGTTTAAATACTGCAATGAAAAGGAATTAGTATTTTATTTTTTCAAAAATTCGTTTTGAAAACAGGAGGAAAATTCAGAGACCAGTTCTTTATTCTAGGTTATGCATGAGTCAACATTGTCAAACAAACCTGTCTTTGTACCCTGACTAATTTGCTCAGACTGCTGGAAAACTGCCTAGACTTATCTCCTGGGCAAGCAAAGTTTTGCAGCATCAAAAGGCTTTTAGATTTATTTTAAATTTGTGAATATACTTAGGTCCAGATAAGTAAGGTATTCCTATCTTAGAAAAGACTTAAGAGCATACCAGCATTTGAATATGTGCTTGCAGTTTATGAATATTACCTAATTTAGCTGATACTGTAAACTCATGAGCCTGTAGGAGGGATCACTCAGTTCTGTTAACCGCCTTTTCTAATGTAGAATTCACCAAGGAAAAACAATTTCCCCAGAGTACTCTGGTTCTTGACTCTACTAGTAATTTTGTACTTTTTGGGGAGCAGTCACTAAGGGGCCAAGGTCCATAAGCGATGAGATGAGATAGGGAGGCAACGTCTAAAGAGGCTGGGCGAGGAACTCAGTAAAACTGGTGGCAGCTACTCCACGGTTCTTGAGCTGAAACCTGGAGAAGAAAATGGATCACGCTTCCACCAAGAGCTGCCACTGGAGAGGAGTACAGAGGGTCACATTAGCACTGGGTGCTGCTCCTAAAAGTAGTGAGAGAGCAGGAAATGAAATGATGAGAAAGGAAAGTCAGAGTAGCTTGCTGTAAGTCACCTTGCATCTGAGAACAGGTCCTGGGACGGAGCATCCCTAGAGGGTCTGGTGATGACCCACTGGCTAATTGAATTGGTGTTATGTAATGTCCAACTTTGTGAATTCGTAGTCAGGTGATGGATCTGTACACTTGAATGTGTAAGAATAAAATGTTTGGCTAACTGCTTTCAGACTCTATTTTGTATTTAACGATAGTGTTCACTTGAGATTGAAAACTTTGTTTTCTGTCAGAATGCAAAAGCATTACTGTTATTATTTTTCCCTTTAAAGGGCAAGGTCCATCATCATAGTCAGAATGACCATTTCCCACCTGATGGGATTGGTAAGTATCTCTGCTCTTAAGGAATTCCTCAGAGTTCATGCTGATTTGGCTTCGGTGAAGTTGATAGTAATTTGACAAATTGAGTATCTGGTCTGTTCCCTACTTGAAAGCCATTTACTTCTTGTGTGCATTTGGGAAACAGATTACAGACTGTTAAGTGGACATTAGGTATTTCCAAGGCTATCCCTTCATAGGTGCTGAGCACGCTGACTTTAGAGCCTTGACACAGCACAGCTGGTCTCTTGAAAATGGCTGTGTTTGAAATGAATGGTGTGCAATACTGTACCAGTGGGTTTGCACTGAAAGAGTGAGGACACTATATTGCATGCGCTGTTCTATGATGTACTTTGAACTTAAATTGTGATGTCATGTATCCAGATATTACTGATCACACTTTGGCAAGGTAGCTTAATCATTTTGTTATTAATTTGAAAAAGCATTAATTTAAAGCTTCTCTTCCTTGCTAACAAAAGGAGGATGGTTCTAGTTTTTGATGCAGTGTTTAACAGCTGCTTTGGCTGTCAGCATATATAATTGGTTTGGGACATAGTTTCATTGATAACTGCAGTTACCAGCTGCCTGTTTCTCTATTCTCAACTCATATTTTCTGCCTCTTCAAATTTTTAAATTGGGATACAGGATTTGATTAACGCTTTCTCTCTGTGTATCAGACCTATGCTGTTAGAGTTGCATATGTGCTTTATAAAGACAGATGCTGTTAGGATTAGAAAAGAAAGAAACATACAGTCTTCATATTCTTTTTGTGTATATACCTTCTTTTTTTTGGTATGTATATATGTTTTTTTTTTCTCTCTTTTCAGTTCAGCCCAATCCTTCTGTTCTAATTGGAAATCCTATCCGAGCATATACTCCTCCCCCTCCTCCTCTGGGACCTCACCCCAATCTGGGGAAATCTCCAAGTCCTGTTCAAAGGATAGATCCACACACTGGGACAAGTATTCTATATGTACCTGCTGTCTATGGAGGAAATATGGTCATGTCTGTGCCTTTGCCTGTAAGAATTTGTTTTCTGGTTTCTTCCCCTTTCAGTTATTGCGTGTACAAAAATTAATGGTGAAATCAGTGAATATTTTGCAGGTTTTCTCAGCACTTCAAATATGTGTGCATAGCTGGCTTTAGGAGTGGCTGTGCAGAGGACCACCAGAAAATTAGGAGTGAAAAATATTGCTCCTACAATAACTCCAGGAAGCCTAAAGGCAATTTCATGTTCATGTAGTTTGATGTATTTTGTCAGCTCTAGGTTTAGGCACACCAGTGGAATCTGTCTCGTTTGACTTAAGATACCTGCATCTGAATTACCTGCCTAGTTCGGTTCTTAATCATTGGAGAGACATGGGCAATTCAGCCGGAGCTTGTTTCTCTTTATTGGCTTCATACAGTTTAAATTACTGTCTTTGGCTGTCTGCAGTGCAAGGTGTCTGAAGTGATAAGAAAAACAAGCATAATGGGATGTTTTCCCCTTCCAGAACCTCACAGTGAGCCAGCTTCCTCTCCAATCCCTTTCCTTAATGGCATTTGGGAACACAATGAAGATCCCTCATCATGTCTCTTAGGCTACATTTGTGTATGGAATTTTGCATTGCAAATAAAACTATCCCATCAGAATTTACACAGAGAACCAGTCTCTGCTTTATTTCTAACCTTCACAGTCGCATATTGCAGGGGGAAAAGGAGGAGTAAAGGACAAAAGCTGCAGAAGCAGTGTTGTGGAGTAACACGTGCGTGTTGTACGCAGCTCCTGAGGACGGTGGGAAGGACGTGGAACCCACACATGAAGATGTGTTTAATTCCATTCATAATGCTAAATGTTGCCATACAGTTAATTTGTTTTTTAATCAAGAGTCCTCTAATTTAGGTTATAGATGCTGTATAGGGGACTTGCTGTAGGAACTCTGGTTTCAGTTGTATGTCTTAGATCAGCTGGCAGCTATAGATTCCTTTTCTTTGCTAGGTCAAGGAATGTTCCTTTTTCCTAGCTTACTAGAAATCTGCGTTTGATGGATAAATTTAAATGCAATGAGAAGGGCAGCAGCTGTGTCTTTGTCATGCTTGCTCACATGATATTAATATCAAACCAAGATAATTTACAAAGTTCTGTCTTATTGTTCCAAGGTTAATATATTTTTGTGTATTTCCAATCAAAAGAAATATATTAAAAGTAAGTATTTTGAGCTCACCTTCCCTGAGGATGGATTTTTAAAAATAATTAAGTGGGAAGACTGAGGTACTAATGAGACAGCTGCTTTTGGAAAGAAGCTTGTTGGAGATGATTTCAGATTGTACAGACGCAACAGTAGCCTCAAGCTAAAGTTCAAAGTGCACGTTTCAAGGGCAAATACTAATTTTAAAAAAGAATTGCATAAAAGTTGTTACACTTAAAACAAGTAGGGACTGAAGTAGAATGTGTTTATGCTCATGTAAGATAAAATGATCCCTTTGCTTTGTTTAAGGCAGTTTCCATATCCAAGGTAAAAACACGAGGAGGTTGTCTCCTGTCATGAGTAAAGGATGCTTTGTCAGCCTGAGTGTTTATCCCTGCACTCTCCTCTTATTCATACATTTTCCTCCTTTAATAAATTCCCTACAGGGCAAGATTGAACTAATTTGATCCAGAGCTGTCTTCCTTTATGTTCCTTTTAGGAATAAACTTTAAAATGCTGTAAAAATTCCCGACTTTTTAACATGCTTTCAGGAGGTGGATTTTACTTCAAATATTTAGGAAGATGATCTGCAATAGGTGTGTCATGTAGTTTAGAAACTCTGGAGTGGCCCTGTCGTTCTTGACATGTGGATAATCTCTTGATTCTCCCAATAGTCCTGTTAACTTCACTACTAGGAGAAAGGACTTTTTATTTTCTTGAACTTCACCCACTTCTTTTTATTTAGAGAAGAGATTAATGTAAAGTTTATTAAAATATAATTTGTCCATCAGTCTTTTCTCTCTGAATTTTGAAACCACTTAAACAAGAATGGGTTTTAATACAAAATTTTTTGCCCAGAGTAGAAGTCCAAAATCTTTGCTGTTTGCCCCTGGCTGCTAGACCTGCCCCTATTGCTCTCCCTTTCCAGCACCACCTGTAGTTGTGTGTTACTGTCTCAGTTTTCCATGCATCAGATGACCTGCTTATTACTGATGTAATATCAGTGTGCTTGTCATTTTACTTCCTTTAACGTACTTTAACAGATTGCCTTTTTTTTTTTTTTTTAATTATTATTATACAGGTGCCATGGACGGGGTATCAGGGTAGGTTTGCAGTTGACCCTCGAATCATTACTCATCAAGCAGCTATGGCATATAATATGAACCTGTTACAGGCACATGGGCGTGGGTCTCCTATACCTTATGGCCTGGGACATCACTCACCAGTTAGCATAGGACAGCAGCAGCAGCTTACGCATCAGGACAAGGAGCAACATGAACAAAGTCGAAATGGTTAGTTCCTGAAATTGCATTGCAAATTAGCCTTCTTTCTTTCTTTTTTTTTTTTTTTCTTTTTTTTTTCTTTTTTTTTTTTTTTGTGGGAGTTTGTATTTTAAATAGGGTATTGTGGAAAGGATTTTTTCTTTTTTTCTCTTAAGTGACACTGAGGGATCTACAGAGTTGGGGAAATCAGCTGTGATTTGCCATTGCAAATAGAATAACTAAGATATTGTGAGATTCAGAGGAGGAAGCAATCAAAGTTGGGGTGTGTATTTGTTGAGGGTATAATTGATCTGTCTCTGTTCTGCAGTTCAGTGGTAACTACTGCTGATGTTATTTGCAATTAAGTTGGAAGACCTAGTTAGAGATGATTAATGAATGAAGTGCAGAGACTAAAGGAAAAGTGTTACTTGGGTAAATTATATTAAATGTCTGTGATGCTGTAAATGCTATACTAATACATCTCAATTTTCCTGTGTCTGGAAAAAAAACCCCAAACAATAATTATGCTATTGAAACCAATTAATTACTTTCCTAAATATTTTTAGGTAAAAGTGAAAGCACTGCTGGACCTGAAATCACTAAAATTCGAACACCTGAGAAGAAAGCTGTGGAATCCAAGCAGGTGGGTTTGTCTTATTTGATGTGGGGTTTTTGGTTTTGTTTTTTAATAGTCTGTTAATTAATTTATTCATTACTGACATGGTTTTTTTGTTTGGGTTTTTTATGTGAATTTTCAGTGTTTTTTCATTCCCTTTTTCCAGGTTGACTTAGAAGCAAATTCTCAGAATAGAAGCCCAGAGTCACGTTCCAGTGTTGGTTATCCTAATGCTAAATTTCATCGCAAAGATAATCTTAACCCCAGGCAGCTGAATCTACATCTCACCCCGCCCCACTCCCAGTATGCAGTTCCCAACCGCCACTTCCAGCACCTGTCACAGATACCAAGGCAGCCATATCCTCTGCAACAGCAGCAAAACCTTTTAAGTCAACAACAAAACCATTTGCCTGAACAACAAAACCAAATGCCACCCCAGCAAAGCCAGGTAGTTCAGCAGCATAACCATTTGAATCAGCAGCCTCTACAAACTTCACAGCTTTCCCCTGCTTACCAGGCAGGGCCCAGCCAATCTTTTTTTAATAATCCAATTCCCCACCGACCACATTCTCCTGCTGTAGATGCTGTGATTTCAGAACAACACCCCCCACCTATGTTACAAGAAGTCAGTAATCCAATGAGGCCTATTGCACAGCACAACCCTGTTCTGCCAACCCACTTGAACAGCTTCATTGAAGAGAATCCACCAGGAGTGCCCTTAGGGGACACTTTAGGTAGGTGACTTTCCTTTATTTAAATTCAGAGTGTGCAATTATAAGGACATTGAAGTGAAAATGAAGGAGGTATTTACCTTTTCGGGCATTTTGCTCTGAACTGGGTCATTGTTGGGTTAGTTTCCATAAGTAATGTCATTGAGCATAATTTGCTGCTTGAGGCATGTTTGAATATTCAGCACTTTATTAGAAGATTCATGTTTGTATGATTTTCCATAGGATTTAAATAACCAGGTTATACACTGCAATGCAGTTAGTATATAATAGCCCCTGGAATATACTGTATAAAAAAATCTCTTTTTTCTGACATAAAGATCTTTAAAAAGGGACATTAGGTAATTTTTTTTTAAAATTATTTTTATAGATCGTATGCATGGAAATGTAGCTTTGGAAACAATAAGGCAGCAACAACAAGCCAGGTTACAGCAGTGGAATGAACATAATGCCTATCTCAGTCAAGGCACTATTCCATATCAACACCATCACCATCCTCATCTACCACATCTTCCTCAGCAACCAGTTGGATTGCATCAGCCGCAGCAAGTTAGGGCAAACTGGAAACTTGCCAGTAACACAGAAGATGAAACAGAGGCAACATATTCAAGGTATTTGTTTACTGAGTCATCAGAGCATGTATAAAATTGAGCAGTGGGCACCTATCTGTAATGCAGTGATCAAGTGCAAGACATGTAAAGGTATTGCTTTTTTGCTGCTGTTATTACGAAGGTTAAAATAGTTGGCAGGCTGACTTACAACTGTGCTTTGATTGTGCGTTATGCTTTATTCTGTTAGTATACTGGGCAGTAAAGCTGTAGTGGAAAAAATACTTTTATGGAGCTTTTCAGTGCTGTATTTATGAAATAAGGAATGGATAGAGAGTAACGACCTTGTGTTTATAAAAGAGGTGTCTGAGTGTAGTTAAGGCCTATTGAAGTTGTAAATTCTTCAAATTGAATTAGCAGTCTTAGATTTATGTACTTGAAAGGAAACAAACCAATCCCTTCCCAAACACTGCTCCCCAATAAAATCTAAACTTTTCCTCCTTTTCAAAAAGCCTTTGCTTTTAAAAGGAGATTTAAAAAAATGCATAGATTTGAGATGGAGCATTAGCAGACAAGAAAAGAAGCTGTTGAACATAAACAGGAAAATGATTCCACTGTTCGTCACCTTTAATCATTTATATTTTAAAGGCTGGATTTTCAAATTGCCTCTGTTTACTGTCATCTCCCACTATGCTTTATTTTCCATCTGGTTTGTTATAGCCGTGGTAAAGTCCCTAAATGCTCTCTTTTCTTACTCTGTGAAGTGCTGAATTGAATATTCTTGACCTTTTGAAGACGTTTGGAAGTATGTTGTGCAAGTGAGGGGAATCCCTGGTTCTTCTGTTTTTCGCCTTTTAAGGGGTTAAAATTTTTGTTAACTATGTGAAGTTTTTTACTTTGTGTAATAAAGCAGGAAATCCTGACCTTAGTTGTCTCGTAAGAGATAACAAAAAATTAATTCTTCTGACTGAAAAGGAAATCTCAAGAGTTATTAAAATTTTGAGATGATTCAGGTAGGTATTTCATCCAATTAATCCTCTTGTGCCTCATTTCTGATTGCTCACAGTCATTTCCTTTGAAGTTAGGGTCAGTAGGTGCCCAGATGAGTATATGTAAATTAAGTGTTTTGTTCTTTGAGTTTTCTCAACTTCAAAAAGTGTGGGATTGCAGCCAAACACTTTTTCTTGATACATTTATTCTGTCAATACAGATTCCAGGATTTGCTCAGAGAACTGTCACACCGTGATCAAAGTGAAAGTCGGGACTTAGCTGAAATGCCACCCCCTCAGTCGAGACTGTTGCAATACCGACAAGTTCAGCCCAGAAGCCCACCAGCACTCCCTTCTCCTTCCTGCAACTCTAACCACAGCGGTCACTTTCCTAACTTCACTGAAAACAACAGAGACATTGAAATACCCAATAACCCAGCATTTCAGCAGCATTTACCCCAAATATACAATCCTCCTTTCTCAATGCCATCTGAACATATAACCCCATCTCCCTTGAAATACCTGCAACCTGATGGATCATGGACTTACGCTAACCTACAGCAGAATCACCTTATGGGGCAGGGCTTTCATTACGGTATACCTCCATTGCCCCATAGGTCGCAACAAAACCCTTTTATACAAATACAGAATCATCAGCACGCAGTCGGTCAGGAGCCATTTCATCCACTCACATCTCGAGCAGTATCTGCTTCTTCGCTCCACAGCTTAGAAGAGGTAGGCATTTTTTTCGGTGCGTGTATTGTCATGTCATTTTAATATCAATTTATATTCTGAAGTCGTCATGAATGCAAAATACTTCATGTATTAAAAGCTCACACTGGGAATTTCTGTGGTTTAAAAGTTTTCTCTATGGCTTCGTTGATCACGCTGTGCATGTTCATGGTTCCCGTCACTGCAGGTATAAGGTTTCCTCTACAAAATGGGAGGTCTTGGCTTTTTTTAATGGTACTCAGAGTTTTCTTGGAATCATTGGTCAATTATCTGCGTGTCATTTATCTGGAGTGCAAATTAACAGCAGCCCAGGTGCAAATCTCATGAAACAACTCTCTGCAAAGTCAGCTTGAATCAGCCCGCCAGTTGGCTCAGTGTCGTACTGTGAATATGGTCGAGTTCCTTCTCATACTAACTCGAGACCAGAGCAGGACTTGTTTTAACATGGAACAAATTTAATGATTTAATGAATCCCACCTGGCCTGAGCTAATTCTGTGTAAAGCCATCCTGTGTATGCTGGGGGCTCAGCGTGTTGGAAATCAGTGCAGAGATATCCATCCAGCTGTGCTACGTGAATCTGGGTCCAGCACAAGCCCTGCCACATCAGAGCTCACTCTATCCCTCGATCTTTTTTTGTTCTGGACTCTAAGGGTGTGTTATGGGATGCAGACTATGCAAGCACATACAACTAGGACAGGTCATGTTTTGAACAGCAGTTTTTAATCCCTGTTGGAATCTGGAGTGCTAAGGAGTGTGTGATATGTAAGCCAGGTTGTATTTCAGGAATGTCAGAATTAATATTCTCAGATAATCTTGCACTGACTGCATGTAATCCAATATTTGTACATAAAGTGGCTTGTTGTGTGATATATTTCTGTCAAGGTTTTTTACAGCAGCTAGGGGTTTCCCTGCTCATCACTATCCCACATAATACATATTTAATTGTCTTTTGAATTCTGAAAATAGAAAATATTTAGTTTATGTGGCCGAGCAAAATAACTAAAATTGAATTCCAGTGCATTTTACAAATTTCTGTCTTATACAGATCCAGAGAGGTTAATGGAGTCCTCAGGCCCAGCTAGAGCTGTAGTAAGGTTTGGTTTTGCAGCATGTAGAAATTCTATGTCTCGGTCCATTAAACCGTACCACCTTGTATAAAATCTAATACTTTGTGACAACAGTTAATGCTGTCAGTACAGCGGGCCATAGGAACAATGGCTTTTCAGCAGTAATAAACTGATAAATATTCCTGCAGAGTTTGTGACAGCTCCTGCTATCTGAAGGGAAATAGAGTGAGCCTTTATGTAATTAGTGCAAATTCGGTTTAGTTCTTATTTCTTCTTCCTTTCAAAATATGTGACAGAAATGCCAAATGCAGTAAAAGTGTTACAAGACAGAGACTTGCATGTAAAGTTTCCAACACTGCTGGTTCAGCTGATAGGCGGGACTGAGCACACAGAGAAATCAAAATGCAGGTTTTAGGTGTATTTTTAACAGAGATCTCTCTCATAAAGCAGGTGTCGGGAGATGTCATGACTTTTGGTATCCTTACTAAACTGTTTTCTCAATCACTGTTTATAAAACTCTTCATTGACTTGATACTTGAAAGATTTTTTTATGTGTTTAGTCAAACCAGCTTTGAGCTGCGTATCAAAGGAGATAGTTCAGTTCTTCTGTCTGGTCCTGTACGTGCAAGTGTCCACAACTCTGATTGCTTACCAAACTTCCCATTAAGCTCAATAAAAAGTATACTTTTTTGGGTGTGATTCAGGCAGTAACTTCTGAATTCTGTCTTTTTGTTGTTGAAGAATATCCTCAAGAGAGTAGAGTGACAGGATATCTTAAGTGCTCTTCCCCTGATGGATCATAATAGTGTGGCAGCTATAACAAGTTATTACAATTTTCTTTCATGCACTCTTTTTTCCCTGTCTTTTTTTTTTTTTTGTGGATGATATGATAACAATATTGGGGCATTACAAGAAGTTATTTGGTGTTTATTTAGCTAATTTTTCATGACATTTCATTAGGATGTTTATTTTTTGCCTTTACCAAGATAGATCTACTTCTGTGACTTCTGTTATTTGTGCTTTGGTTAGTACAGCGCAGAAGGAAACAATTACTGTGTTTATTTTTTAAAAACAAACTATAATACAGCAAGCTCGCTTTGAGTCTTTCAAAAGTTTAGAGTGTTGTTAAATCTGAACTCCTGAAGCCACCAGGTCAATTAATGGCGCTCCTGCCATTTTCATCTACACGATTTACAGGGTTTATGGAAGCAAGTAATTCCTGTGGTTTCAGATAAAATTCTCTGCATTATTTCTCCTGAGGGCACACACTTCTCCAGAGCACTTGTTTTGTGTGTACATACACAAAATCCAGTATACAAATATATCATGCTTCTCTAAGTCCTGGTGTAAGTCACTCATTTGTCCTTGGGAAACTAAAAGCCTTTTTTTTTTCCTCTTTACGTTGTAATTGGACATTTTCTCTTGTAGCTTTCTGTGCTTCCTCTGCTTCCTTTGTAAATGCTGGGTATCTTCCTCCTCACCGTATGATACATCTCCCGCGTAGGAGTGTGAGATGTAAGGGTTGGTAAGAATTCAGGAATCTCAGCTGAAGCTCTTTGTGCTTCCTTTGAAATTCTGTGGCTGTTTTGTGGATTAAATACATTATCGATGACAATGTAAAACTTGAAATGTATTAGATTTTTTTCCTAAATGCGAAGGACTTTTTTTTTTTTTCACAAGACATGGCATAGCAACAAACTGAATGGAAAAATGGCATTTGATGCATGCAGTTGAATAAAAGGAGCAAAAGACCTTTTGTTTTGTTTTTTTTTTCGTTCACAGTATGAACCAAGAGGACCAGGCAGGCCGTTGTACCAAAGAAGAATTTCCTCTAGTTCAGTCCAGGCTTGTTCTGAAGAATTAAGCACTCCTCAAGACAGTCTTGGTCAGTGTAAAGAGCTTCAGGACCACAATAACCAGTCATCTTTCAACTATTCATCACCTGAGTTGTGGGTAAACTCCTCCTCATCTGCCCCATACCCAAACATTCCATGCAACGGAGCCAACAGAGCCGTTCCACCCCGGGAGTTGTTAGGTAGGTACAGGCTTGGTCTTTGCTTCTCTGCCTCTCTCTCTGCTCCATTGAGTAGACACCTTAGGCTGGAGAGAGCAAATATAAATGAAAGAGTTGGTTGTTTTTGTTGTTTTTTCCTCTTCACAAAACATTTTCTGCTATCTCTTCAAATCCTCAAACTCATTTAAGCAACGATTTTTGAAGTATTCATTGTTTTAGTAGTTAAAGGTTTGCCTAGAGTAATCCTATTTTCATTTGCTATTTTGTTAAACTTCTGGTACATTGCTGATGTCAAAAGAAGAATACTGTTGAGTATTCTTCATCTACAAAAGGAAATACTGCTCCTTAGACTTCTCACAAAAGTTCCTGGTAAACCCACATATTCTCCTCCAGTGGTTTCAAGTGCAATGGAATTTTTGCTAAAAGGAGCTAAGGTAACTCATGGGAGTTACTTGCAAGATAGATTATTTGTTTCCAGAATCAGTGATATTTCTTGTTGATATTACCGTCTGGGGGAGAAACTACATAAACTGAATTAGTAATCGCAGTGTATTTCCTAGTAAATTCTAGTACTTCATCAAAGTAATGATGAAGTTTAAACTCTCAGCGTGGAAGAACCACACTGGAACCTGGCTTCCCTGGTGGTAGTAGCAGTGCTGATTGATTTAGGAGAGAGAAACTAAATTAACTTTTCAGTGATTAAAAAAAGCTGCAAGTAGAGAGTCAGAGCAGTGCAGCTATTCTTCTCTTCTCCATATTTTTAATGTTTGTCAAGAATGAAATTACCAGAATAGTACAGTTTCTTCTGCATTACTTTGCTTTAAGGATCTCCAATGATAATTAAAAAAAAAATAATAAAAATATGAACAATCTTCCAGTGTTAAAAACAATAATGTGAAAAATTATTTCTAAACTGGCTTTATTGCCCTTAAGAGATCTAATTGCTTGTGGTCAATTTTTATAAACCTAAAACGTGTAATTTCATAATATAGTAATTGTGAAGTAGAAACATGCGGTGTAGACCGATGAAAGAAAGCTGTTTATATCAGTGACGGCATTTAAGTCTTCAGTTCCTAATGTGCATTTTCATTTCCAAAGTGTGAAAATATTATTTTACAAAACCATATTTATGGCAGCATCTTTTGTGCTAAGTTCAAAGCTTCAAGCTCAGGGCACCTCCTTCGATCTGTTTCCATTTTTCCCACAAATCAGGGAGCTGAATGTATGATATTATGTGTCACCAAGAGTGGCATCCCTCCCTGAAGCTGCTCTCTAGACTCTCTGGTTATCCGATAGGAGCTCAGGAATCCTGGCAAGACTGTGTTGGGATCAGCTGATACCACATTTCCTTGCTTTAGTGTAAAGATTGAGAAGAGGTTTGTGAGTAGAATCCTCAGAGGAAATGTGTGTACGTACAAAGTACCATATCTATACATTTACTGTCAATAAATCCTCAATGAAAGGGGCAAGTTCTGACTAGTGTCTGAATTTGCGATGAAAATATTTTTTACTGTAGTTAGGCATGGTTTCTGTTCTGTAAATATATGTAAATGCGACATTGCCCTGTATCTAATGGCTCGTGCAAGCAAACCTCCAGTTGTATGGCTGCTGTGCTTTCCTGCATATACCGCTCGCTGGCTGCGATGGTCGTATTTAAAGCCCAGATGTGTTTTACCGTGCTAAGGGGTAATGACCTGTAACTACAGCGTTTCTGGCTACTAGTGATTTCTATCCATGAAATAAAAATCCATGAGAATGAGATGCTATGAACTAGTTCTGAGCCTATATTTGTTGCCCAGGAGTGAGCAATCCTGACAGCAGACCGTGCCAGGGCTTATATTTCCTGTACACAGGAATGGCTGCGGCACAAGGATCGGGCTGTATCAGTGGGGATTCACGGAGTGCAAGGAGAGCTGCTGGGAATTGCTCCGTGCTCTAACATGAAGGCACTTTCCAAAACTGCAGTTTGAGAGCTTGATTTGCATTGCTTTTTCTCTTGATAGAAAGAAAATTATTTAAGTTCTTATTCAATATGTTTATTTAATATTTTTTCTTCTGTTAGACACCTCTTTTCACCTCCAGCCCTGCTTGTCATGACTTGTCTTCTTGAGCGCTACGGTTATTTTTGGTAGCTCTTTTTGCTTGTGTTCTGAGGTTTTTTTTGAATCATAGCAACCCAAGCGACACTGTCTTGCTTATGTTCTTTCCATATTCATTCTTCTCAGGATTGGGTTGGTTTGGGGTTTGGTGGGGTTTCTTTTTTTTTTTTTGACACAAAAGCCTGTGTGTGATCCTTCCAGTGAGAAACTTAACTATATACTTATGTTTTTCTACTTTTGTACTCATTTGTTAGTACATTTTGGTATGTGCACTTTAAAAATACCATTATACATTTAGAGATTGAAATAATTGGAGAATACATCTGTTTCTCAACTCCTAGGCTATTTTAGATAGAACGTGTACCTGCATTTCAGGGTAGAGTTTCTCTAGCTATGTAAGGCAGCAGAATTCTCCAGACAAAAGTAAGATACCTCATTAGGATTCGGGAAATTCACTTGAAAGCAGTTTTATACCTATGGTTTAAAGCCCCGTTTTTTTCTGATGGTTCCAGGAGTTGTTAAATGAGGAGCCAGAACATATCAATTAGCAGGAATACATTCCGACTAAAATACCAATAATTAGTTGGTTGGCATTCAGGACTCTGAATTGCTGTTTGAGAATGAATTATATATGGTGCTGTAAATTTTAATTTCAGCCCATTAAGCTATAAAGCAAGAAGAATGAAATAGTCTTTGTGCTGTCTCAGAGGATAAAGTGGTTAAATTAGAGTATATCCCATTCCGAAGCAGCCTACCTTCGGTGCCTCTGCTAAACCCGCCCGTGCCCAATGGCAGGTTCAGCGTTATGAACTCTGTCCGTGCCCGCGCGTGGAGAATATGGTTAATGATATCAGTCCTCCTGGCATTGCTGACAAGGATAATGCAAGATCCAGGAGTTAGAAATGAAGGTAGATAATGATGAAATTTCCTAGGACCACAAGTGACTAAACACAGAAAATAGTTTCAGTCCCCCAGAGCCCTTGCTTTGGGGTTACTATAGACAGATCTCCCAAGTCAGAGCTCTTCACTTACACAAACTCTGATTGCTCCTTTTGCAGCTCCACCGAAGACGGTCAAGCCCCCAGAAGAACACCTGAAGGCCGAGAACATCCAGCTCTCCAATTCCTTCAACTACAGCGTGCTACAACACCTCGGCCAGTTCCCACCTCTCATGCCCAACAAGCAGATCGTGGAGTCGAACAGCAACAGCCAGCAGAACGCTGGTGGGAGCAAGCCTGTCATGTCCTACGCAAGTGCTCTGCGGGCTCCGCCAAAGCCCAAACCTCCTCCTGAGCAGACAAAAAAGAATAGCGACCCTTTGTCTTTGTTTCAGGAACTTAGCCTAGGTAGTTCATCAGGTAGCAATGGCTTTTACTCCTATTTTAAATAATCAGATTATTTTTTTTAGAGAGAATTTAATTTTTATTTGTGTCAGTAGATCTAAGATAGTTGGGGCTTCACCTGTAGTTGCAAATATTCCCTTTGTTTATATTAGTAAATATATCCTCACTTAATTGCTTTGCTGCTAGACTTGCAACTAATTTTTTTTTTAATTATATTCCATTATTTTGCATTTTTTGATGTGGGTCGGTTTTTTGGAAGCTTTTATGTAGGAAAACACACACACGTTATTTTTTAATTTGTGTAATGTTAATGATATGTTGCATTAAACTAGCAGCTGAGAGGTTACCTGTACAATTTTAAAAAAGGAAAAAAAAAAGGAAAAAAGAAAAAAATAATAAAAAAAGTTTGTCTAAATTGTATTTAAGAAGATTGTAAGTAGCATTTACATTTATTCAATAACATTAGCATACTATGCTGGGTTTCTGTACCAGAAATGGCCAGTTAATGTAAAAATGTATGTTATTTCTGCTTAAATTCATTTAATTTTTTTTTTTTTTAAATAAAGGTGCAGCATCTTCTAAATACTTTCAGTTTTATCAGCTTTTTTGTGAAGGGATGCTGCATTCTCAGACTTTTATAGTTTTAGATTCTGTATGATGTGGTATTGTATTTTCCATCCACTGTAGGGTAAAGGCATTCTTTGCAGACACCTATGCCATTGTTTGGAAACATTCAGATAAAAAGTATTGGTATACTTTAAAAAAAAGAATAAAAAAACCCAAAAAAAACCCCAACAAAAAAAAAAGAAAAACACAAACAAAAAAACTCTACATTTTATTTTTGGACAAGCTAGTAATATAAGCTTGTTTGAAAAGTTAATTTGATAGGTTTTTTAAATGAATCATGAAGCTGAAAATAAATTTTTAGGTATGTTGGTGCTTAGTAGATTTAATAACTATTTTAAAAAAAATGCGTGAATTTAGTAAAATACTTTTTTTGTTTGTTTGTTTATTTTTTCCACTATGCATGTGTAAATGTTTGTATTCTGGCTTTTTCCTCCCCTCCTTCTCCAGTGGTATAAAGAATTGTGCCGCTTTAATTTTTTTTTTTTTTTTCCGGTAAAACTTTTGGTACATTATTTGATGTTTACATTAAAATGTGACATTATACAAGGAAATTCAGATATTTTGCTAACTGTTTTGTTTGAGGAACATCATTAAAGAAGAGATTTAATGTTTGTCAAAACTGTATCCAAATTAATCTAAATCTTTTGGGGATAAGAATGGTTACCAGGTTATTTATCTATATGAATTCTGCTGAGTTCCCCACAAACCTGGCCCTTCAGGAATACAAACTAAAAAAAAAAAAATAAAAAAAATTATGGGATATTTAAAAATTAAAGAAACAAGTGTGAATGAAAGCTCAGCAGATAAATTGTCCATAAAGATTTCTGGTCTTGCGCACTGTTCGTACTTTGGCGGCTGGGGAGGCAGAGAGGGCTGTTTGTGTAGTTTCTCCAGATAAGTAGTTTTTCTTTTACACTTGAAATAACTTTAAATATTTTCCAGGGACTGAGCTGGGTGTAGTTGCAGTATTCCTCCACTTATTACATACAAGAATTCCAATTTTAGAGCTGTGTGGGGTGATTTCAGATTTTTCCAGCTGTCCATGGGACACCTGAGTAACGAGCAGTGGCTGCTGCTGTATTCAATCAGATTTTTGCTCTGGTTACAATCAGGTTTTTTTCTGCATTTGACTTCATGTTTTAAGGTAAGGGTCTTTCTATAACGGGGTTGATTTAAACTCAGTACGCCGCAGAGGTTTGCGTATAAATTTTTTATTATAAATCTTTGCCGGTTCATGATTCAAAAACTTAATTTGAAAATAACTTTTTCCTTCTTTTTGCTGTAAAGAAAAGCACCGTAACTTGTTAATTTATTTCCTAATGTCTATACCAAACAGAAGATGCTGGGGGAGGGAAAAGCCCCTGCCAGGTTATGCTTCGCACTTCAGCATATGGCATCAAATCCAGAGGACCCAAAAATGCATAGAGGCCAAATTCTGCAACCTTGAATCAAGCAGAAGTACTGTTAAATGGGTTTTTTGCCGAGCTGACGGCTGCAGAAATAGGTCCGTGGGAAATCCATTTGCAGGGGCCGGGCGTGTGCTCAGTAAGTTAGCCTCAGTCTTTTTTATTTCAGTGGGGCTGTGCCAGTTCTCCTCCACCGAGTGCCTGGCACTGCTCTGAGAGAAGAAAAATCTGTGTGCCTGAACGTTATAGTCTGTGAAGAGTTCTCGATGAGATGGGCAAGGCTGTGGCAGGAGAGAGGTAGGGTTCGAATGCACTTCACGTCGCCGAGTCGGCATTGTAATTTCAGGGGTTTCGAAATCACTCATTTCTATGGAGCAGTCTTTTGATTCTGTTCACCATCTTTGAATATTAAACTAATAAACATCACTTGTTAATTTACTGCTATCTGTCAGTTGGTTAAGGGGGAGATGGTCGCATCTCGCCGCATTTATTCGGTTTTACACTGGCGTTTTATCTACACTGAAAATCTCACGGATAAAGGAGTGTTTTCTCTCTGATTTACAATCCCTGCTGCTTTTGGTTCTAAATTTTCACAAGTGCTCTCACCCAGGAGTTTGAGGGTGGTATGGTAGAGATCTTCCAGCTATCAGCTTTGGAAATGTTTAGCGTGCATCAGTTGCATTTCTTGGAGTTAATTTTTTTTCCAAAAGATTGTTTGAGATGTCTTGTCCAGCTATTATATGTCGTGTGTATAGCCCTGAGTGGGATCTTTTGTTTTTAGAGCAAATTATCCAATGTTTATTGAAGTCATAGCTGTTTAAAAAAACCCCAAACTCTCTTGTAAACTCTGGTAGGACTTTAAACGAACTCTTACTAAGATCAAATGAAGCCTTACAGATGGCTGCAGTGGGCGATGGCTTGGGCTGCACTGTAAATATGGAGCTGGTGCCATTACAGTGAAAATTCAAAATTACGAATTTAGATTCTTGGTTTGTGTAAACTGTCTCAACTCAGAGGAAATGAATGGAGGCTTGGGCATGTACACCAACTGGATTTACTCCTTGACTTTTCTATAGCTAAAGTGTCACACTCGAAAGTACAATTAGTGCCAAATTCCGTGCTCCTTGTCCGGGAATAAACCCCCATAGCCTGTGGAAAATGTAAATCACAAGGTCATCCAGACCTGAATTTAGAAAGCTTGTGTTTCATATCAGGAATAAGTGCTGGTTTTATTCTCTTTAATTCTAGTTTTTCATGAGAAAAATCTGGATGCTTTATGGGGAGGTTGTCAGAATTGAGAGGAAGATTTTTTTTAAAATTATTTGAAATCTAAAAAATGAAACTTTTTACTTGCATTTCAAATAGAGCGGCTGCCGGAAGCACCCCGTGAGTACTGGTCCCTGCTTTGATTAATTAACGTTTTGTTCCCGGATTTGTCAAGTTCAGCTGTTTTTTTTTGCAGAGATCGTGCTCTATAAGCAGTTCTTTTGCTCTGTATGTATCCCTGCTGTAAGGAGCACTGAGAGCAGTGTGTCTGACTGCTCTAAATTCCCTTTTTAGGGTGAACTCAGGCATATCAGCATCCGCGTGCTTCCAGAGCAATAAGCCCGTGATGCTTCACTCTCTGCCCCTATCATCGTTCAACTCATTCCATTTGTTTTGTTAGTTTTTCAAGTTTCTGGTTTTCCTAGAAAAACTGCAGACAATTAACTTGTCAAGCTGACTGGTGATGATCTATGGTGCCTATAAAAAATTGCACATCCTCTTCCTTGGCGTGAAATCCGGGCTGCTCCTGTCGGTGCAGCGATACTTCCTCCAGGAGCTTTTTGTTGGTTGTGTCGGGAGTGAGGACTGAATCATTCCGAGTTCTTTCATTCAAGTAAAGCAGAAGGATTTACAAAAAAATGCCATGGAAATGTTGGTTCAGTGTGGGGGGTTTTGGCAACGTCAGCTGTGGTTGAGAAATGTTGGAAAGTTTTTACCTCGTTAAGGATTAATAGATGTTTCTGACAAATTACAGAAAATGCTTTGAGTTAGAAGATGTTGTCAATCCATTTTCCCTTGCTCCCTCCTGAAGGGCGAATGCTTCGACGAGAGCCCCACTGTGAAGCCATCGCCGTGCTCCCAGTGAGACCAGTGGTGGTGGGCACGAGGCTGAACCGGAGCCCTGGGTGCAGCCCTGCCAAACAGGCTCGTGTTCCTGGTTCGATTAAAATGCAAGTAGCCAGAAATCAGAGTTTATTCCTTTCTCGGCATTTCTTTGTAGGAAGTGGAAGAGCAGCTCCCTGTGTGTCTGGATGCAGAGGGTGCATATGGGGTGTCTGTACGGCTTGAATTTGTGTGCAATAGCATCCCTGCCGCCAGCACAGTCTCATCCTCGACTTCAGTCAAAGCAAAGCCGTGATGCTCTTTTCTTGCCCCTTGGTGATAATGGAGAGGGGAAATAATTTGAGTAGAAGCCTTTAAAACAGACCCTGTTGCTGTGGGTGTGATTTGTGGTCCAGAGCAACCCAATACTCCAGGAGATAAGTTATAAAAATAATACAACATTACTGAAGCTTATTTAAAATGAAGTTTATAATGAGGTTTATGCTGTAGAGTTTCTGCACATCAGTCAGGCCCCTGGCATGCAAATGTCCATCTGGAGGGCGCTGGATGGAGCCCAGGAGCTTGGTGCTAATCTCCGGGGCCCTCCCCGGGGCTGGCAGGAGCAGCGCTACAAGCAGCCCTGTCCCAGCGTCGGTGATGGCTCGTATCGGTGTGTGGTCCTCGAGGGAGAAGGTGCCTGTCTGCAGCAGGGCCAAGGGTCTCACTGCAGGTGGGGCAAAAGTACCGCGATCTTTCGGACCTTCTGGAAGTCATTGCCACAAATGGCAAAAGAGGTGATGGGCACAAGGATGCGACAGAGTGAAAAGGGATCAGTGAAAACAAGTAGTGAGTGAGTGTATCCGTGCCCTTATAAACTGCATTCCAGGGTGGTCACACAACGAGCATCATGCCTGTGCTGGCCCTTTCCAGGCATGGGCTAAGGGAAAGGCAGGGGTTTGTACCGAGGTTTCTGAATGTCCCATTCCCTTGCTGCACGCACCCATCTGTGCGTCCTTGGGAACCCCAAACACGGCCGAGCTGCCG